CATACTTTAACACAGCTGTTATTTACTTTGCATAATTTGTTTTGCAAATATCATTTATTTTCTGCCTTTTAACATTCATAGTCTTTGATTCTGTCACCATTTTTTCTTTTCTGTCATTACCAAACTAAAAATGTCCTTTTAAATGGTTAGCATTCTAATCCATGCATTAGGCCCCATCGGTCTAACAGTCCGGCTGCAGAGTGCTGACATTTATATGCTATATCCCGGGCTTATTCTTAATACCTCTGCTTTTATGCTGTTCTATTTTTATATCAGTGTCTGCATGAGCTTCATTTATTCTTTATGATACTAATCTTGGGATGTTTCCCATGCATGGTGTTCAGGTATTGTTGATAGTTGCATGAATAATCAATGTCCCCGTCCCTTGAGAAGCATTAGTAGTTCTTTGTGTGAGATAAGTTAAAATGGGTACTAAAAGACCAGGGGAATTTTTTTCAAAGACTAAGATCGACTTTAAGTTGGACTTGACTATAGCATGTGTTTTATGCCACTGTTTGCTCTCACCATTATGATCTTTAGATCATATTTTTTTCGTTCAATAATGAATTATCAAAAATTTAAATTCTGTAGATTTGTGACCATGGTTTGTACGTCCATTGAGAGACCAAAGCCAGTAAACGGTGAGAGCAAACAGCGGCATGAATGGCCTCCCATAGTTAAGTCCAACTTAAAGTCAACTTAGTCTTTGTGAAACACCCCCCCCCCCCCACCCCCAGAGAGTTTACAACCCAAATTATAACTTTGAATTTTAGCATTGGTGTGTAAACTTTGAAGCAGCTAGGACCTCACACAATAGTGTTTGTATCAAGAAATATATTACCAGAAATCTATAAACAAAATATAATGTTTCTAACATGTTTCTGTAGGCATACGAGAAGCATTTAGTCAGGAATGACTAGAGCCTGGTTCAGACATGCCACGGTCAACTGTGGCCTTTAATTTTAAGATGACGTAAAGTAACGCTTTACATTTCTGTATCTTACATGTATAATACAGAGCTCAGTGAATATGCATAGGACCCTTGTTGCACGCTGTTGCAATTAGCATGCCCCCCAAAACATAGCTTTTGTTGGCAGCGGTTTACTAATAGCGCTTAGAGACTTTGGTGGAACGTTTTATCATTATTATTATTATCATATGTGAACAAGCCTTAATTCTGTTTTGTTCTGTATCCTCCTCTTTCCAAGGTGTCCCACGCCCGGTTGTACTGGCAGAGGGCATGTCAACAGCAACAGGAACTCACATCGTAGGTAAGTCTAAGAGAGCATTGAAATCATTGTTAGGAGCTGGGAGAGAAAGATGTTGCTCCTGGAAACTGATTTAAAAGAAAGATTGGGAAGAAAGGATTTGATGTTATAAAGTCTGTCATTTACTTCAATTGAATGACTACATGTAGACTGTAGCAGATTTTAAATCAGGAGATTATCGTGCAAACAAAACTTTTGCAAGAATATTTATTGACAGGCACTTTTAGGGTAAGAAATGTGTGAATTTCTAGAAAACCGTATCTTAAAACCACCCTTCATGAATACTAAAGTTTCTTGTATTATAGTAGATCGCACCAGGGCCTGTCTTATAAAGAGTTGCTATTGATCAATCCCAAGTTTGTAGTCCCCTATCTCTCAAGTACATGTACATGTACATAGCAACTGTTTATAAGACAGGCCCAGGTATAATTTAGTCTGTTTTTATGGATATGGTGTTACCGTTTTTTTCTTCTCTCTCCATCCACCTTCTCTTTGCTCAGTCTATCAGGCTGTCCTAAAGCCGCTGCGGAGAAGCTCTCAATGATGACGGGTCCCCCTCCTCCACCGAAATACCCAGGTGACAACAGAGTCCTTGGGTAAGTCCGACAGCAGCTTGCATTGTGGTCTATCTCTCACTCTTGCCATTAATCTACATTTGCCACTCAATACCCAAGAGAGAAATGAGAACCTGGTAGGATGACGAAAGCATTCGTGATAGTAATTGCCTATGCCCTCACGGTGACCATATGGTAGGAATACTCCCCAGGGAGTGGAGATGGTGCTCATTGTGCTGAATGAATTCAATGACCAGGGTAATAATATTTGTGAAGCACTTAAAGACGATCTACCTTATTAACCGCTTTATAAATCCAAATTATAATTATTATTATTATTATTATTATTACCAAATCCCTAATTTTAACCCGGGATCGGAAATCATACCTAACCCAAATCCTAAATGTTACCTAAGTTGCATCTCTAACCGCAATTATCTTTGACGAAATAGAGGGTAGAGGAACTACTGTTTCATCAGCTGACCAAATGTCAGGTTTCTGTTAACACCAATTAAATGGATTTAAAATAAAGACATTACATTGTTAATGGCGGGGAAAACAGAGAGTTTGTATGAAGTTTCTTCATTTTTACAAATATTTGAAATTTATTATTAAAGGTATTACAAAGTTTTGGTATGGGGTCATGAATTTGGTTCAAATTAATATATTGGAAGCATAACCGTTCGTACAATATTCATTGATCATTGTCCCGGTTGAAATCGAGTCTAAAGTTATGAAATTATAAATAATAAACTCTTTATGTTGTATAGCTCCCTCTCAAGATCAAGATATCAATTTAGCTATGAAACAACGTTTCTTGACTAAAATCGACCTATTAGCTATTCCCGTTTGGAAATTATATATCACAACTACATATTCTGAGATTTTCATGGTCGCAGCTACCATTGAACGGCCGTAGGCGCTATTTGAAATTTATCAAAATTTACCTGGAGCACCGGTAAATTTGTATATTCAATTTTTCTCGAAAACAGAAGTGTTTTAGGGGTTAATTTTGTTTGGTGTGTATGATACATCCACAGGGGCATCCAAATATATCAAAATTGTAAAGATTCACTATCCACCCAATTTTTAAAATTTTCCAAAACTTTGTATTACATGTACCTTTAAGTAGAATATTGCGACTAACGAATCGGTAGTGCCAATTTTTGAAATTTTAAGTTTTATTTTTATTACTATTTACTCACAGAGTAACAGGAGGTAGTTGACTTAACTACAAATTCACAATGCTTTTTTTTGGGGGGGGGGAACCTTTTTTGAATTATTGCCTATAAATATGAAAACTGTTTTCACAGCCAGTTTGATTATGATCTTAAATATTTAAGTGTGAAGCTAACTTTTTATTTGTGTCATTTACCAGGAGACCAATGTACTTAAAGGAAGTGGACTCTTTAAGCGGGGTAACAACTCTATCTTCTGCCAACACACCTCGCACTACCCCTATGGAGAAGGTGAACCCCAAGCCATTCCCTGTAGAATCTATCATGGCATTCAACCCTGCAACGGGACAGTTCACAGCAGCCAGCAGCCACAAGCGCATCGCCCCCAAGGTCATATCCGCTGCCGAGCTCCTGCCTCCCAGTAAACGTCCCGCGATGCCCAACGACGGGACGGTGGACAATCGGGAGGCGACTCTCGCAGCAGCGGCGATTAATCTCTCCTTGAAGTCCCTGCCACCTGGGATGATGTCCCACCTGGCGTTCCCGATGCAGTTCCCGCCTCCGATGACCCCGCCGAGCTCGGTCCAGCAGCAGCCGTTGGACCTGGTCAAGATGGATAGCAACGGCACTTTGGATCTGAGTATGAAGTCCACCAAGATGGACAGTCAACATCACCAGCCTCCTCTGACGCCGCTCTCTCATCTCCCTGGCCCTCTCCAGACAAGCACACCCCCGCCGCAATCCCCTCTCCCTCTCCCCATGTCCACCCCGTCGAGTTTGGTTCAGCTCTCCATCCCTCAACCTATCATGCCCAATCCCATCTACTCCGGAGCCTACTCCTTCCCGCCCATGTCTCCGCTGGTCCAGACATCCGCCAACAACAACTCGCCGACGATCCTCCAGATCCCGCGGTCTTACGATCAGGCGGTGGACTTCTCCGCCTCCAAGAAGCCTCAGTATCCGCTCCTGACCAGCTTCCCGCATACCCCATTGAGCGGTTCCCTGGCGTCCCTCACTAGTTCGTTGGCCTCTCTCCCGGGGTCGTTGCCGTGCAATGTTCCGCTGACCTCAGGCGGAGGCATCCTGACCCCCATAGCGCCCAATGCTGTGGTGTCGACTGGTGGAAGCGTGTCTCTGACTGGCTTTGGCAAAGAAGAACCTTCGTAAGTACTATCATACATATGCCTTCATTCTTTGAACACTTGCCTGCTCTTTTTGTTTTGCATGTAGAATTGTTTTTAAAGTAGTGCATAGTGTTGAAATAAAAAAAAAAGGAGCAAAATATTAAATTTTATAACTGAAATAACAGCTGCCTAACAAAAGCCATTCTCTAACAGCTGCATATATAGAATGTAAAATATAAACAAACTGTGCATGAATTAAAGCTAAGTATAGATAAGTTTTTAACTCTGAATCTATTTGAAAATTCACAAGCAACAGATACACGTTTATACGTTTAATGATAAAGACTATCAGTAATATCTTAATAACTTTTTGCTCTTGCGGTGAAAGTTAATGGCAGCTTCAAGTAATCCCTGAAAAATTGGTATAATAGTGATGTAATTGAAGTTGATCAGATTAAGAAAGTCCATAGGATTAGTACTGATGAATTATGAAGCGTGCTTTAGAATAATATTCCTTCATAAAAGATACCATCATCCCAATATCTATGTCATTGATAATACTTAACTCATGCCCATTTCAAGTGTGTAATCGAAAGTGAAGATCAAAGCAAACTCAATGATTATGCCTTATTCATTTGCATTTTTAAACTAATTCCATTTGTTGACTAACTTGTATCGTTTCTCTCCACTTCTCCTTTCCCTTGTTTGCTTCATGTGAAATAACTCGCTCCTCATTCCATTTCCACCTTCAAACCCCTCCCCTCTCTCCCCTCTCCCCTCTCCTCGACCATCAAAATCCACTCCATTTATCACTGATTACATATGATACCTTAAGCAGCTCCATGAAAAAGCAAAACAAAATGAGCTTCGTTCCTAAAGCTTTGTTTGAGCCCAGGCGGGAGCCGCTAAGGTAATGGTTACAGTCGATCAAATCAGGGGATAATTCTCCAATTGTTGCGTCATGATTCTCTACCATTTCTGGATAAAATTGCTCTGTGTTCAGTTCACTGCATGAAGACGTGAAACAACTTCTCCGGTTGAGAGAAAGTCCATAAATTTGAAGCTATGAATAAAGTATTAAATATAGAATCTGTTTTTGGCGTTGAAAGGTCAATCATCCCCTGGTGGTCGTGTCTGATGTCAAAATTATGCAAACGCTCGCTGACTGATTTTGAGGCATAGAATAGAAAAAAGGGTATTATAGGAACGGCAATCTAGTGGATTCATAATTTATTGGAAGTTTGGAAGTTGCCAATATCATTTACCCAATTTTTGTATTTTTTTGTTAAAAAACAAGTTCTGTGTGATTACTTTTAACAAGCAATGATAAAAGAAGACTGAAAGAAAAAGAAGAAAAGAAACTTCGCTGCTCGCTCTGTGAAAGGAGATGTATTTCCTTCAAGACAGATGAATATTATTAAAACTTGACTAATTCTTGTCAAATTAAATCCAATTTATATGCGAGGCACCAGGATTATAGAGTTTACTCGGACCAATAGAGACAAATTCACAATCTTCATTTCTATGACATCTGATTCATCGCCATTGGCAAAGTTAAAGATTGTTCACATAATTTTCAATCTTGTGAATTTTAATGATAATGTGATCTTAAAATCAGTCAGTGCGTATTTGTTATGATTCTGTAAAAATATGTTATGTTGCTTCAGGAAAGAGGAATAATTTCTATAGCAAACAAAATGGGTCATTTCTAGTATGGTGTTAACTGGTGTTGTCAACTTTTCTTGTTGGTGTCGCTCTGTTTAAGGTGTCAAACTGCTATTTTTCTCATAACTTGACTTTGAATCGCCAGTGTCGATGACTTAAAATAATCAGCTGGCATTTAATTGAATAGAAAAGATTTTTTAAACATATGAATAATCAGAAAAGAAGGGGAAAAAATGTAATCTTGTTATCTTAAAAGCTTACACCAACAGCAAATATCCAACTTGAAATGGCCCATTAAAGTAACGAGGTGTCACACTACTAGTTCAGTATGCATGTTCGGTGTTCTGTGGGTTATTGAAGCTGTTCATATACATGCAGTATTTACTGTAGATCTAGATATGGATGAGGCAGCTCTGAAATGGTTTGATTACTTTATTTGTCCAAGTATTGATCCCAATCTCTTTCAACACTGTCATTCATGAAATTGCATTCTTGTCGTAAGCCGAGGCTTTAATGTGGATGAATAAAAAAAATTGATCTCCATTTTGAATAATGAAAAGGCTGAAAATAGATATGATAAAATACATTTTTTGAGGGAGAATGAATTTGCAGCATGCATTATGCCAAGGTTTTTTTTAATGACCTTGGAATGCTTAAAGGGGGGGGGGGGGGTATGAAAAAAAAACTCCATTTTAGGTCAACTATTGCATAGATTGTTTTGATTTATGCTGCCAAGTACAGTTCTGTTTCTCAGAATCATTTTTTTTTTTAATATGAAACATAGCTTCCCCATTGAGTTTGCAATCAGTATGGTATGAATATAGTAACTGTATCTAGTTGCGACCACGCAAATCATGATCAAATCAGGGCTGCCTTTGAAACGGGTCAAACCTATTTTTTATTTGGTGTATAGAGGTACATTACATGAATAATGTACATGTATGCTATTTATGTACAAGGTTGTGTAATTTAAATCAGTATGTAGGGCTGGCATTTTATCCAGAAGACATTCTCCATCAATTATTCTCCGGCAATTTTGCATTTCTATTGATTAATTCATTTTCGCCAGTGGGAAAGAACACCCACATGAGTATTTTTGTTTTCTTTCTCTGAGTGTTGACAAGTCGAACTCATGATAAAACTCACAATGAAATGTGGCAATATAACCTTTTATTTAAAAAAAGAAGACATCTTTAACTCGTACTACTTTATAACAAGTATATTATTTGACTTCCTACTCTCTTTCTCTCTCTCTCTCTCTCTCTCTCTCTCTCTCTCACTCCTTACGTATACGTTGTTTATTCACCTACATGTACGTGTATATTTTTTTATTTGCCCTACTTCCTATCTCTTAATTGTTATTCCCATTCATTTTTTTCTTTTTAACACATTTTTTCACATTTTTTCAAGGAATTCCCCTTTTTCTCCCACAATTTCTCCTTTTTCTCCCACAATTTCTCCATTTTCATTCTTATTATTTGATTTCTTTTTTTTTTACTTCATCATAAAAAAAAAATTGGCAATTCAATACAATTCAAGTACTTGGTGTTGCAGCATACTCATAAGATGTTATTGGATCTTTCAAAAATTGAAACAAGAGATAAAGAGATATTCTCTGCGTATTATAAACACAAGATTTAATGCCTTCTGGAGAAAATGCCCTCAACATTTTGCATGCCATACATGTGATATTGTACTACTAGTATTTGGTTGATTGTTGTGTATTGGTCGCTGTCAGGCACTTTACTTCACTATTAAAGACTGAGAGAGAGAGTTTGTAGGAATTGATTATATAAAACATTCACTGCTGAATGAATTCCAATTTATACCCCAACCCTTTGCTGTATTACTCATTATAATCTTTAAAAAATTTTGTAGGTCATGCTATCAGTAGGAATATTCAAGTATTCGCCGATGTAGTCTTTTAATTGAATTTACATCCCACGCCCATAGCTGCCAACCATTCTGATTTTTGGCCTTCAAGCTATCGTTTTGAAGCCTAGATTCTTTTTCTGTAACATTGTGAAGTGTGAAGAGTATACAAAATAGACCGTATTCCTAATTTTTACCTTGAGAGATTCTTTATTTTTGCGCTGAGAAGTTAGCGTGTATGTATCCCTCCCCCTATATTTTCTAAATTCATTATATAACAAAAAAATTCTAGGTCATACTGGACTTTGGAGCATACAAAGATCTTTGAATTCATATTTATATTCCATCCCTCCTCTTATTCATGACAAAATTAATAGGTCAAACTGTTTAAAATGGACTGCGAGAGCGTTCACTAATATGTGACTTACAATTTACACTCTACTTCTTCCTCATTTATTTCCAATTAAATGTGCAGTACCGATAAAGATCATGCAATGGGGCTGTCTGTTTAAAAAGCATGAAATTGGGAGGGGGAGTGAAAACCAGAGACCAGTAACTGTTTTATAGCCTGTCCATGTTCATGTACATGTATGTACATGCATTTAAGTAAGTTTGAGGCCGTCTATATGTTCAATGCTTACGTCACTTTTGTGCATTATTTTCTTATCAACTATATATTTAATTTCTCTATTTGTTTCATGTTGTCTGCGGACACTTTTTTGCTCTTTATGACAGTGATACATGTATGTCACTTCTTGTATCTTAATTAAAGGGAGGTCCAGAGATATTTTGCAAAGCTATTAATATAAATGGTTTGCAAAATGCATTTTCCTGTACATTTACTTTCACACAGACTACAAGTTATTCCCTCCAAAAGCAAATATTATTTGTCCGATGCTCAATAATTTCCCTAAAAGCTGTTCTAATTCTTACAGCTTAGCATCCTAGAACACCAAATAAATGATCACACCCTTCTTCACTCCCCACATGCATATAATCACAAATCAACCCTTTTTTCAGATATCACATTATCTCTCCAAAATAGAATTTTTAATGAATGTATTATCTTTTTAAGATAACTTCATTTTTATTGCAAATTGTTCAGTTATTTAAGGAGCCAGTTTCTCAAAATCGTCATAAGTCTATTAGAGTACATAACCCCCTATTGAAACTCACATTAAATTTATATCGCTAGTTTCTATGAGATGTTCGAGAACTTAGACTTGTGATGGTTTTGTGAAACCTGCCCCAGAAGGAAAACGTATTCATAAAGTTTATTGGGCCCTTGTGCAAGCATCTCACAAATATTTCACAATCATTAAATAAATACAAACACCAGCACTACAAAAAATATGCATGAAATCTTTCGTATTTTTTACACTTTATTTTTTAATATATTTTATATTCAATGCTTGCATGCCTTCTGTACAAGTTTGTATTTTTGTGTAGCAATACTAGACTGTTTCATATGCAGCTATTTTAGCTTTTGTAAACAGTATTTTGGTGACAGAGTCTTTAAGTCTTAGAGCAGTAGGCGTTTAGAACTGACTAGGAAAGTCATAGGAGCTCAACACCATCTCTACCACACCAGGGGGAAAAATACACAGGAGCTCGGGCGAATTCACCCCCACCATGCCAAAAAGAGCCCCAAAAGTTTTTTTTAAAAAGAGCCGCCTAAAATTTGTATGAATTCAATGCAAAAACAAATTAAAGAGTGTTATATAATATTCATGCTAGCAAGCTTGAAAAGTAGCCCCAAAAGTGTTTTAAATATTTTTTTCCCTGTACCACACCACATTTCCTTTAAAGGGAAATCCAGCCTTAAGAGCGAACAGCTCTAAAAGGAAGCAAAAAAAATACAGAGGTAGAGGCAGACTGGTGACTGGTTGAAGAAACTTTGACATGAAATAATATAGTTACTTATTTTTGAAAGTTTTAATCAGTATTCCAATGGGAACTTTGAATCGGTAATGTCACTGTGATGCAGTGGCAGACAAATTTCCCACTTGCTTCAATAGACAAAATGTATGTCCTGGTAGGGTCTTTTCTTCTTAAAGGACCTATCATAATATATTATCCATAATATATTTATTACTTTAAGTAGTGCACCGAGGGATAAGGTACTGGGGAGAAAGATGTAAAACCCCTTTTTTGTTGCTTTATCACGAAACCCTACACTAAATTAGCCTGCCCATATAGTCCACATGCCTACAGAGACCATACCTCTCTTGAGTGACTATTATGTACAGGTTGCACTCTTTGTATTTGATCTTGTACACGATTGTCTCATTATCCATACAATATCATTTGCAGCAGGAATGAAAACACCCTAAGTCTGTTCTTAGACCGTTATTATGCATAGCTTTTCTGATTGCATTTACATTTAAATTCCAGTGCTAAACACTTCAAATATTGAGGGAAGTATACATTGCCAATTTGAGACAATTGAGAGTTTAAAGAGATAGTGTCCTGGGGAAAGGAAAATATTCCAAATTATTAAAATTCGGTGTGGTTTTGAGTTTTGCTGTTGATCTCCTATCAAGCGTGAAAATATTGGTACAGAATATATGCTGTTGCATCACTAGGAAGGAGTCTCTATGACTATGTACCGTCTATTCAGCTCCAAACAGGCGATGCATGAATTGAAATATGGAAAGAAAAAAAGTTTGGTTCTAATCGGCAACGGTACCAATCATGATTTGGTAAAATAAAGAACAGGTCATGATCATACAGGTTTAGAAGATATGTTGGTTGCCTATAAATGATGATGATGATGATGATTAATAATATTCATACAGCACCAAATTTTTGTTCAAAGAATTGAAAGGCGCAATCTTGTATCAGATGGTGGTCCTTGTCGATTTCAGAGTAATTCTGACATCTGCCATTTTGTTGAATTCCACCATTTTTTAATGTTTTCAATACCATCTTTGGAAAGTTCTATTCAACCAAAATTCCTTTTTCTTCTGAGTTGACAATGATATCAGCTCATAGATATACTATGAGCGAAACTGCAAACCGATTGAGTTTTAAAGCATTATTTTTATGACGCCTTGCACATCAGCCAAACTGTCAACCACAATCGATTCTTCCATTTCTCAATTTGCAAAATAGAAACTTCTTTCTCTGCCTTCAAGTGATGCTTCAATATATTATCTGTAGTTAACATTTTGTTAGGAGCATTTGATTTAAGTTGCTGTGACATTTATTTTCCATAGCTGTCCTACCCCGGGATGTGATGGATCAGGCCATATTACAGGGAACTATACATCCCATAGGAGGTTGGTCATTGGTCAATTCAGAAAATATGAATATTCATGAGTAGAATGCAGAACCAATAGGGATTCAAGATCTGTAGAGTTGGAGACACTAAGAAAATGAATATTCATGAATCAATGACAAAAGCCAATGAGGCAGTTGAAACTTTATGAATATTCATTACCTGTATTATGTAATGATTTAAAATCATTTACCAGTTGTTAATTAAATTAAACAGGAAATTAGAAGTTTTACTTTTATTTACTGCTGGATACATCATATGCACAACCGCCATGCACTAATCGTCAGCTGACATGTTATTTCAGATGTTTAAAAAGATAATTATCTATTTATTAATTCTTTTATTGCTCTATTACATATCCTTCCCTGTTTGATCTCTCCGTCTTATACTTCCAACCCCTTAAAACAAAACAATCAAACTGCTAATGCTACCACTCAACTAACCAGCCCTGTAGCGTAAGTATCTAACCAATCTAGAAACAAGAAGTGTTTGCATCATTTAAAGGGGATGTTCACGCTGATACTGAGCATATTTTAATAGAAGCAGACAAATGAAAGAAACAGGTGTGTGAAAGTTTGAGCAAAATCTGATTAGAATTAAGAAAGTTATGAATTGTTGAAGTTGCAGTCAATCAAACACGAATCGACAACTCTGTGACGTATCTTACAAGGCCCCCTCCCATTTGACATGTACTAAAAATTTATTAATTTCCATCATCCTTAAAGAAAATTGTAAATCATACAATGCACCCTAGATATAATGATTGCAGATGTGTCTTTAAACGACCTCTATATAAAACAAATCTATTACTTCATCAATAAGTAAAAATTGAAAATTCATGACATTTCATGTACAGAGCAAGTGAGAGAGGGGCTCGCAAGATACATCACAATGTTGCCAATTTGTACTTCATTGATTACAACTTCAAAAATTCATAACCTGAATAATTCTTTTCGGATTTTTGCTCATACTTTCACTTTAACCGTTTCTCTTATTTTTCGACTTTTATTAAAACCAACTAAATATCAGGGTGGACTTCCCCTTAAACCACATTTACCATTTGGAAATCATTTGTTGTGTCTATTATTTTGTTACATGTGACCACACATTTCCAAGCATTTTTCATCCTCACTGTCGTCCGTCCCAGGCTAGCATTTAAAGGGTGTCAGAGCGTGAAAACAGACCTTTAAATCCTAACCCCAATTTTAATCTGCATCCCATACCATGAAGTTGTCCAAGTGTATTATCAAAGATTAGCGCTGCTGTGACTGCTTTATAACCGAGAATTGAATGCTTGCCCATACACCCCATTTGCAATAATCATATCGTTGCATCAAAGGTTATTTTCACTCAATATGACACTAATGCCAGCCTCCTTTATAAATCACATCTTGCATTATTTTAATTTTGCATCTTGGAATTAAAATGCGTTTGACTTCCCCTCCCCCAATGATCCAATTTTGCTAAACCGTTTCAATGTATGCACAAGAGTTTGAAGCTTTTCTTGATAATTACTTTCACTTTAAAATGAAAGTAATCCTACGAAAGCGGCGAATCCATCATTATTTATATCCCTTGTCATGTTATGTTGAGCAAGTTATTATTCTTTCTATATATATCTATATATATCACTCAAAATCAATTTCTTTTAGTCCTCGGACATACATAATTGCACGCCTCCCCAAGACTGATTTAATCGGTGTACTTCAATTCTCCTTTATCCAAGCAGGGATGTGGTATTTCCCACAAATAAGTTCATCTACCTCTATTCTTTTTTTCCTCCAAGCATTTGACTGTTTTTCTTTTTTGGTTGTTGTTTTTGCTTGTGTCTTGTTTGGATGTTAAAATAATTAAAAACCCCCTTTTCTGGAATGGTCTCTCCCGCTTGTTTAGCTTGTCTGGTTGCCCGATGGCAGATAAGTCCGCTATAATACCCGGATCCCAGGAATTAAAGTAAGTTTTGGTCTAACATGATGAAACAAATTAATTTGCATGTTTTTTTTTCTTTTACTTTCTTTATGTTCTTAAACAGTTTGAGAAGTTTTTGATTGCCTATTCTTCTTTTTTCTTTAATAATTTGAATTGTTTGTCCTACTATACAGAAAAATTGAAAAAAGAAAGAGATTAGAGGGCATTTCTCCCTCTCCTCCCGGGTTTATTTGAAAAGGAATAGGTACATGTACATGGCAATGCTAGGGTAAAAACAAACGATTGCCATGCAGGAATATTCCTGATGTGGTTTCCCTTAATTTCCCAAATCATTAATTTATTACTGTTATTAGCATTATTTTGTATTATTATTATTAATTTATCATTAATATTTAAAGGGTAGTTGTGTAAGAAATTGTCCCTCCCTCAATCACTTTCAGTTCAGCCATTGCTAAAGCTTTTTAAAAGACAATTTTAGCTAGACAACAGAAAGCATGATTCTCTTTCGTTAGTAAGGTAATATATCATCCTTTCATAGAATTGACTTAGATGCAAAACTGAAATATAATGTTGGAGATCACTTTTGAAATTGAGTTACATTTTCTCACCATTTTCCATTTTTGAAAGACTCTTTAGTGAGGTATTAACTTGCTTTGGTAAGGCATTAATCTTCATTACCAAGTCCCTCAGAGAGGACTTAAAGCAGCTGGTCCCCTAGTTTACTAACAAGCATATACATGCTTTATTAACAGTCATCATCATCCAACCCCCGGCCCCCCACTCAGTGTTATTCAGGGTACGCATATGCTCGTTCCCTCTTTTTGAAAGCACCCCCTATCTGAGGACTGCCAACATTTCCGAACCCCCCTTTCGCGGGCTTTTCGCGGGCTTTTCCTGCCTTGGAGACCCCCCTAAATCAGGAAAAATGCTCAATTTCCCCCCCTAAATTCGGAATAATTTCTCAGGAGTCCAAAGAGATGAGAGAAAAAAAGAAAAACACCCCCTTTTTAAAGAAATCTCCGGGTGAAAAGTCAAATACACCCCTTTTTTTACAATTCTCGGGCCGGACTTTGTCGCACGAAAAGTACCCCTTTACCGGACATTTTTGCAACACGCATGCGGTCATTTCGAAACCTGAGTGGGGGGGCCGGGATCCAACCCTAACCATCTTCTCCCTCTATTAATCTAGAAAGTATAACTTGCTTCATCGTTCTCATTATGCATGAACCCCGAATGTGTGTGACTTACATTACATTCATTCATTGTTGTCATCCTCCAATTGAATCTTTCCTTGTTGTTTTATGTCAATTTTAGAGACTATATTCTCTAAAATCAAAGTTCATTCCATTTATTTATATATATAAATGTATATTATAGCTATATATATTTTTTATATAGCTTACATGATATATTTAGATGTACGTGCATTTATTGTAACCATTGATCTTTTTATACAGTTCTTTTCACGGCTCATTTAGAGATCACACCATTGTTAGCTCATACATGTACGTACAAAAAGTATAAGACTTTTCTTGATAGAGCTGGCAATATTTTTGATCTATTGTGTACATTTAACATAAATGTAATATGATATAATTAAAAAAAGATTTACTTCTGAATAATAAAAGAATATAACTATTTGACATGTAAGTATGTGTTGGCAGTCTTCCGGTTTTCTATGCATTATTAGGTTACATTACGTTGTGTATAGGACCCATTTCAAAAAGCTTTTTTTCAATGACAAATGACAAAAATAAGTAACAAATCTGATAACTAATCAGAAGCAAGGATTTCAGTAGCTTATAACAAAAACTGTCATTTGTCACTGATGACAAGTTTTGTAAAAACAGGTACAATGACATTGCAGTAAAAATCACTAAGTTTGAAAAGTTTAGAAGAACCATCTGTATTGCATTGACACATACATGGTCTCAAATACCCTGTGATAATGCTCTCTACAAACAAAAACCAAATTCAACCTTAATAGACAACTACTCTAATAGAAAGCATAACATATCAGAGAAGCAGAGTGATGAAATTTTGAATGAAATCAGCCAAAAAAATAAGAAATTCATGAATTTTTGAAAATTATAATCTGTATACCATTGGACTGTTCTTATTGGCTGAATCAGTGATGTTCTGGCAGAAAATTGTGTTGTCATAGTTCAAAAATTATAGCTCTCTTATTATTAGCCCAATTTAATTCAAACTTGCCATTCAAATTCTATAATTTTTCTGTTTTCATATAGGTAAATGAAGTTATTACAAAAGTTGGATTTCCCTTTAATGTGTGTCTGATGGTCCCCATGCATGTTTGTCCCCCTCTAGGTGCCCCACCCCCGGCTGTGACGGCTCCGGTCATGCCACTGGTAACTACTCCTCTCATCGGAGTCTGTCAGGGTGTCCTAGAGCCAAGAAGAAGAGCTACACATCATCACCCAAGAAAGAAGGAGAGGAAGAAGGAGATGGTCTCATCAAGTAAGTCTCTACTCTACTGTCTCTACTTTTCGCGCTGAGCGACCCCAAAACATATTTGCTGGTTCTTAAATTCATGTTGCATGCAATTCAGCCTGTTCAAAACATGCATAAGAAGTCATGTTTATATTTTTGCGAGCTCTAAAATTCGCGCTTGCCGATCTTAGCGCGAAGTCCACAGAAATTGATATACCACAAATATTTCTACTTTTACAGTATCCCATAGGAGTTGTAGACTCCGAGAAGCATAGGTGCCATCCATTCTTATTTTGGAGGAATGATTTCCATTTTTTCTGCCTTCATACTAGTATTATGAACCCAATATTATGAACCCACTTTTCCTCTCATTTGTTGAAAACACCTGTATGGAAACATTTGAAATACACTAATCATATCGTTTGCTTAGGAGATTCTCAATATTTGCTTAAGTTTTGGTACAACAAAACAAGTATTTGTGAGAATATGTAAAATCTTTCCGATGAAAACTGCCTTTCAATGGTTGGGGGTTAAATGGTTAAATGGTTAAAAGAGTTTTGAGTGGCTTAAATGTTGGTTAGAGTCACAAGACTGAGGATCATAGGCTATATGGTTTTTACAGCCACAACATTTACATCTTACACTTGCCTTGCTCAACCCAGGTGAAGAAAATGGGTACCTGTTAAGACCTATTCCTGAAAGTACCCTTCGCTTTGATAATGGTTACCGGAGCTAGTTAATTATATCCAAATCACTTATAAAGCTCATATAGATGTCATGACATATTGTGATGTGTTCTGTTATCCTGATACCTGTTTCATGAAACTTTTTATCAGTATCAAGTTACAATTACTGCTGAAACCATGGCATTTGCCATGGAAATTTAGCATTTGTTATTGATAACGAGTTTTATGAAACAGGGGCAAGGTTTACCTGCTTTTACTGTCTCGAGCAGAATGGTCACTAACTTGATAATAACAATAATAAAAATGATACTTATAAAACGCTTACCATTGAAGTCTCTAAGCGCTATAACAAACAAAATACAATAAACAGCTACATATTGAACAAAACAAAAATTACAAATAAACCTACAAATTGCAATACTGCAATGAAATATACATCAATGTGAACTGAGTATTAAAGTTAATCATCAAAAGCAATTTTGAATAAATGCGTCTTAAGACAAGTTTTGGATTGGTTGACAGTCTTGACAGTTTTAGACATGTAAAGGTAGATTTTTTCTCAATCTTCATAGATGCCCCATCCCAGGCTGCGACGGATCAGGTCACGTCACTGGCAAGTACGCCTCGCACCGCAGCGCATCCGGGTGTCCCCGGGCCCTCCGAGCCGGCTACCAGGGACCCATGCAGACCGCACCCAAGGAAGGCGGCCCAGGGGGGCTCTCCCCCACCATGATGCAGAACGGGGCCGGTGGGATGGCCGTGATGGGGAACGGGGGCGTGATGATGGGCGTGGTCGGTAATGGTGCCGGTGGTATGAGTGGTATCACGGATGCGGTGTTACCCCTCAATCTTCTGAAGCCCACCATGATGACCACCGAGGATAGTGGTATGATGGCCATGTCACCGGTGGTCATGGAGGAACAGGAGGAGCTAGAACCAATCGGACCAAGGTAGGAGCAGAATGGGAGACTACTTCAGTCATAATGACAATAATAGGTCCATTTATATAGCTCAGCTACTACAGTCAAACCTGTTTATTGCGACCACCCAAGGGAAACACAAAAGTGGTCTTTGAACAGGTGTTCTTTCAGTGCATATTTCAATGAGAAACCATTTTCAAGGGAAACAAAAAATGTGGTCTTTGTAGACAGGTGGTCACTAAAGCAGGTTTGACTTTAATAGGTCCAGTGATATAGCTCAACTACTACATGTATATGAATGTACTCTATTAAACTTGATACAAAGTATCATATTAATACCTTGGCTGTAGCTGAGCTGCCACAATAATGCGCTAAAGCATTCAAAGAATTTCTTCCTGCTGGACACCCATTTACTTCACCTGGATGGAAAGTGGCAAATGTAGATTAATGTCTTGCCAAAGGACATTGGTGCTGTGGAGAGACTCAAACTGCGAACATATGAACTACAGTCCAGTGACGTATTCGTTAGACCACAACACCTTTGTAATAATTAGATCAATTTATATAGAGCATATACAAATATACTCTAGCTGCGCTGTGGTGAAAACAAATCTCCTAACAGTGCCACTTTACAGACACACAATAGTATAGTATGCAAGTATGTATGACTACTGTGCACTATTCTGTAGATGAAGGTCACTTTTATCTGTAAATGACACATTTGTACATGGTCTTTGTCCTTCATAGCTGTCCGACCCCAACCTGTGATGGATCTGGCCATGTCAACGGCTCCTCCCCAGATCATCGTAGCATCTCAGGCTGCCCACTAGCTGCTCAAGCCATGAAGAAAGCAAGGCTCAACGGTGAAGACATCACCTCGCTCTCTCACAAAAATGTCAAAGGTATGTTCACAACTAATCTTATTTAATCCTTAAGGAGGGAGGAGGGGGGGGGGATCTACCCCTCTCTGGCTGAGAGACTACAAATAATCTGTCCTCATAAGACTTGCCTTCATCAGCTAGAGTTTGCCAAATATCATCCTGAAGCTCAAAATTGTGCTTTACCAGACCGATACGCTCATCACAAACTAGCTCGGAAGGGTGCAAATTAGCCCGCTATTTCCAAAATAGCGCAATATTTTGGAAACGACCAATATTTCTCTGGAAATTTTCTCAACCGAATGTCCCACTAATTGCAACTGCAGGCGGATGAAGACGCAAAATTAATTAACTGGTTAATTTGTTCCTATTTTCACGAAGTGACGGTAGTGAGGACAATCGTCATGCAAATTGTATGCGATTTTCCTCACTACGGTCACTTCGTGAAAATAGGAACGAATTTGGGATCGGGATATTAAAAATAATGGGTTATTTGGCAAACTCAAGCTGATGAAGATAGGTCTATTGAGGTTACCGCATCTACTTAGAGCCAAAGGGTGTTGATATGAGGTAACACCCTTTAAGCACTCTGCAAATGATCTTATGTTGATGTCAATTGCATGGTCCATAGATATTGGATTTTAGGCAGTTTCGCTAAAGTAAATTTCCTACTGTATTTTCAAAAACATCTACAGTAAGTAGGAAGTTAGTGATTGTGTGGATTATTAGGATCAAATCCTTTTTTCCAAGTATGGGAACCCCCCCCCCCCCCCCCCCCTCCACCCTGAAAAAAATCTAATGATGTCATTAATGTAAAAAATAATTCTACATACCGGTAGATACAAGAGTATTCTACTATTGACATGAATTTCATCTCTGTAGTGTATCTTATCAAATCAATGTTTTTATCATTTAATTAGAAAACGAAACAATTCAAAAACGTGATTAGAATTGGTATTAGTGCCCTACTGCCAGACACATGATAGTAATTTCTTCATCCTTTCACTGTCATTTGATGATTTTGCATTGCAGTAAATGTCTGTATTATATCTCTTAAGGTGACTCCGTAACATTGCCTCAGATTCTGAAATGATTTAGCTCATGCTGCAATCATATTTATAAACATTAAGGTCAGTCAGGAATCCCATGACTTTTACAAGCCGATCGCCTGTCTGTCTATTTGGGAAAATGAATATGGTAAAACTGGTCACTCAAAGAATTTTCTGAGGCTCTTCATGATCATTTTGAAGCGCAATTTTTTTAGGGTTTCAATATTACACCATATCACAGACACTGATAATACGAAGGGCCAAGCATCTCAGATTTAACATCGTTAAACGATGTCTTTAATGATTTGTCCATTTAGGAGTTGAGAATGATGAGGAGCTCTGGAACTTGGACATTGAGATCAACGAGCTTCAGTCCAGCAACTGCCAGATGGAGGCTCAGATGAGACGACTCAAGACACAGATCACTACCATGGAGACCAAGCTACGTCAGGCAGAGCAGGAGCATCGAGCCATGGAGGAGAAGCACCGCTCTCTCACCGTGCAGCTGGACGGACTACGCAACACCCTCATCAGGCATCTCTCGGATGTCAAGAGTGTGGCCATGAGCAGTAGTCGCGAGGCCAGCCTGCTTGGTCCGAGCTATGAGCGTATGGAACAGTTCCTGGTCAGTCTGAAAGAACTTGACAACGATGCCAAGGACGCTGTGATGACCAACGGGGGCTTGTCCGGACGGGAGTCGGCCGCGGCTTCTTCGTTTCAGTCGGCAACGCCGCCTCCTTCGTTAGGCTCGTCGTCACCCCGGCTGGAGTCGGTGGAGAACACGCCTCTCACGCCCCCTCCGCAACCGGTCGACCTGACACCCCCGTCGCTGAGTAATGGTATCATCCATCATTCAGATCAGCCTATGTCGACACCAGGGGTGGTTCGAACCAATGTGGTGCCAGTCACATGAAGGACTTCATTTAGTATGACTTGCACTCCCTCAGAATGTTATGGGTACTAACACCCCCATTTGAAGACAGTGGAGTACCTCCAAGAGTTGTGCATCCAATGTTGGAACGGGTTCTACCATTTTTTATATGAGTGAGGACACTTCTTGCAAGAGGGGTGATTTTATTCCATGTATATACTCTGCCTGTAGACCCCTCTAAGGGGCATTATAGGTTAATTTATTGAATGTACTATTATATGCAGCATTGTAAATAGTTAATAGTGTCAGTTAAACTGAAAATAATTTGAAATGCCATTACCTTGATCCAGAAACAGGTTCTTAAGATTTTCTCTTATTTTATTTCTTGTTTTGTTTCCCCAAGTATACGCTCTTCAAATTGGAAAAACTTTCCTACACTTTAGGGTTATAGGAAAGGCATATTGATCTTTACGACGTGGATTGAGCAAATGAAGGATCTCTGTTTCCTTCCCAATGATTTGACTTGAAGGATGTTTTATCGTAATCATCTCAATCTGTATAGAAAATGAAATCAATTATCAGCATTCACAGGATTTTGTTAAAAACAGCAGGATGTGCTGATCATGTAGCATGACCTTTCTAAAAATCATGACACTTGAAATAATTTAGGTTTCATCAAGGTCAGTTTCATAAGGGAATATTTTGAAATTTCTCTAAATAAATAAATTCTTGATAGAATGAACTATTCATGAATGAAAATTAATCTTAGCTCATTGCCAAAATGAGCATGGAAATTGCTAATCCCCCCTCTTTCTATTCCCGAATATATTTGAGCCTTTGTGTGGAATTATTGGTAGGTTGGTAGATTAATTTAATTTAATTTATGAATTTTACATTAATCTTGATCTAAGGAGACACGAACGAAAGAGTAGATTGGATGGTCAATTCAACTTGTAAGCTCAAACATGAGTATACACACAACATAACAATCAGTTATTTTACTTATTGTTGCATGCCAAATGTTACAGACGATGATGATGAAGAAATGTCCATCTACATCACTTGGTGGACAATGAGGAGGCGCGATGGCTCAGTGGTAGAGCATTGGTCTTGTAACCGTGAGGTCACAGGCTCAAAACCAAGTCAATACTTGTGCCCTTTGATAAGGCATTAATCCTCATTACTAAGTCCCTCGGAGAGGACTTTAAGCCGTCGGTCCCCTGGTTGTTACCTTACAAGCGTGTACATGCTCTCTTTAATAGCAGTCGGGTAAAACAATCATCATCGTCATCTCTGTACCTTGAAGTGAACTAAAGTAAAGTCTAGCAAAGATCACTTTTGTTCTTTGTTCCCGTTGAAAACTATTTCTCATTGAAACTTGTGCTAAAGTAAACCTCCACAGGAAGACCACCTGCTTACAAAGACCATACTCCTTGTCTCACTGGAGCATTCGTATACAGGTTTCACTGTACAAAATGCCGTTTTGATTTCAGTATATTCAATTTCCTCGCTTCATTTAAAAGGAGGTGGGGGGGGGGGATTTTTGTTGTTGAAAAATTTGAATGTTATAATGCTGAAGCTAACCCAACCCCATGAAATATCACATATACTATCTGTGCTTGTAACATTGATATTATCTCACTTTCTGTGAGAAAGATGGAATCCGATAGGCTAAGATAATATTGGCTCTAATTCTGTCATACGAAGGAATGCTATAGTATGCAACATATAGTGTGTATTTACTGCCAAATGTTAACAGTTTTCTTTTCATGGTTTTGTTAGTAACTGAAAGATATATAATAATGGTACTACATTGATTGCATCTGTTGTGCATTGATGTGCTCTGAAAGTCATGCTATAAAAGATGTTTTCTAGAAACCGTAGTTGATAACTTGACAAACTGGTCATATTATCAAAGGAATTCTGTATTTATAACCATTGCACAATGTTGCTGGGTTTAAATTATTGATTTTCTTACTTTTGGGAAGGTAAGAAAATAATGCATTGTCAAACAGAAAAATTTGAAAGTACTATTTCTGTGGAAGACTACTATTACTCATGAATTGTATATTTGTTGAATTGAAACTCTTAGAATTGACAAAGTACTAGTTTTTACAGATTAAGAACAACACATTTTTCTTTCTTTAAAGAAGCAATGTATTGAATAGTTATTTGGAGTATGCAAAGTGTTAAAAATACATGTATAATCAAATACAGTGTTTATTTATTTATTTAGATTCATGCCAGTTCTACAAAACCTTTGACATGTACTTGCAAATTGAGTTAGGTTACTAAATTTAGGGAATAGCCGTATTATATTTTGTGCATTGTTATGCTGAAATCTGATATCTTTTGAAAATATTTCATGCAGATCATGCCATGCATCCCTCATAAATCCCTATGAGACATATGGCATGTATTTTATCATTTCACACTATTTCTTTGGCTGAGTTTTTTGTTTTTGTTTTTGTTTTATTACTACCGTACTACAAAAACAAAGAGCTTGATATCTTATAAACTTGGAGAAACATGAATCATTTAGCCTTCAGAATAGCGAGCATTACAATTTGCATTCATAGCATTGTAATGAGTGATGATATATTTTTGTGCAGGCCCTTATATTAACATTGATGTTTGTATCTATTGGCGATAAATTATTGGGTTTGTTGTACCCCTCGCTTGCATTTATGGGTACTATAGGCAATGAGAATGGTGCAAAAAGGGTGATAGTGCCAGAAGGGCTTTATGGCAATACATTGTACAGCATCCCAGTTGGTTTTTGGTAAATAAAGGGTCTTAAGTCCTTTGTAGAGTTTCTGGACAAAGTGAGAGCCTAGCTCTGTCATGTTGGAGATAATGGCTTTCAACTTTGTGAAAAAAATGATAGTTTTGTCTGCTGAGACTCTGAAGGATATTGACTCACACTTTAACACAGAGTTAACACCCTTCTGGCTCTCAACAGGAGATGTAATGTTCTGAAATGAATGGATTTGAATGCGTCTAGATCAGAACATCTCTGGTTATCAGTAATAAGTTACTTTTCTTTCTGAATATCTTGATTTGGCAGCTTGTAAATCTGAAATAGTCAGGAAGAGCATTATACATCTCATTTTATAGTTTTCTTCTTCTTCATCTTTGCTGCTTAGTGTTAATACACAGATGTTTAAACTTTCATTCATGTTGAGGTTCTTCTGTGAAAGCCATACCATTTCTTGGCCCATGAATTCAAGTCGATCTTTATAGCATACAGCTGTGAAGCAGAGAGCATGCAGCAGTTAAAATGAACTGAAATAGGTAGAGATTATGCGATGGATTATCCTTAATTCAATCACTTTCAGCATGCGTAGTAAAGCCAACTTTTCAATGATTTATTTTTCGTGACATTTAGAAGGATTCTAAGCGAATTCATTATCAGCATCCGCATTTTATGTTTTCAAACAGTTGCCAAAATTTATGTTGCGAAATGTAGGAGAAACTACTTGAATATTCAATAAAGCTCCCAACTTTGGACTTTATTCAATATTTTCTGACACGTATAGGATTCGTGTATGTAACCAACGAGGTAAAAAGAAATTCAGGAAAGAGTATTATGTTTTCATATTAGGGAGAAAAGTGCAATATTTTATGTGCTCTGTTGTGCTGTATTGTTTTCATTGGACATGTGTACTCTTACATTTTTTTCCTTTTCTTCAGTTTCGCATGTTCTTAAATTTTCACAGGAGAGAAAAAGATAGTACTACTTTGAGACCAAATTAGAATGCTTTAGTGTTCTAAGAAGAGAGCTTGCTATTTTCATGTTATCAGATATATTTTGACAAGGGTGTGGTATTTTTTTATTTTTTAATTTTTTTTTATTTATTTATTTATTTTTTTTAAATCTATTTATTTATTATTATTATTATTATTATTATTATTTATTTATTTATTTATTTATTTTTTTTTGGGGGGGGGGGGTTGTTTTTAGTTTATACATTGCTGCATTAATCTTAAGTTAAAGTATGATTGAAAATTGAAAGAGTAGACATTGTAGTGATTGTCTCAAGTTAAACTGGCACAAATTAGACAATGAATTTGAATGTGTGGTCATTTGAAACAGAGAGAAATATTTGATCTTTTCAGACATCTTTGTTTGAAATAGGGGTGAGCTTTAATATCAGTTATTGATTGGAATAAATTCAGAATTGTCTTTAAGTAGCAGCCATCTTCCTATGAAGACCACCTGTCTGTAGTGACCAGTATTCCTGATTCCCTCGGATAGCCTTTGATCAATAGACAGTACTAGGTTTGACTGTATTTACATGTATATTTACATGTTAGTTGGATATTGTCTAGTTACATGAGATTTCTAATTTTGAACTTTGATGCATTTCAAATTGCTTTCTCATCAAAAATATATGGTTGCTAGATTTAGGATCTGTTTTAATCTTCTTTGCGGATCTTAAAGAGTGCATGGAGTCTTGGAGACTCAATTTAATTATAATAAGGGGAAGGGGGGGGGGGAATCATGTCAAAGATAAAATTTACTGAAACTGCTTTAAAGGAAAAAAGATATTAATGCATCTAATAAAACATTAAGTTCACCCTTGAATAGGACAGATACGGTATTACAAGCATGAATAATCAGGGCTTGCTTTTACGCAGATTCTTCTTTCTCCAATTACTTATTAGGCAATGATAATGGTAAAAGATTAGAGCCAAACAGGGCGTTAACTGATAACTCACTTGTATCCTTTCTTTTGATAGCAAATAATTTTGATCAGATGACTTCTTTAGGGCAAGTCCTAGCTATTTGGTAATGTGCTGTCCTGTACGTCACAAAGTATTGCAGAGTTCTGGACATGTCTTGAAGTCAAATAAGTCTTTTCATGTCATATTTGGTCGGATAAAAAAACTCTAATAGGGCTATAAACTTAATTACAATCATTAGATGTATACTGCAATCATAGATGTTGTTTGTGACGTACGGGACAAAGGCTTAGACTTGCGCTTAACCGGTTAAAAAAAATAATATGTTTTTATTGCCTAGAAAGTATGAAATCATTATTTATTAAATTGTACTTGTATGATAATACTCTTTTGTGCTAATAATATTTGAATGTTGAGTTTACAAGTGAACCAGTGGTAATGTTTTATTTTTTGTTCATGTCAAAGTTTAGATTAGAAAAGACAGCTGTTTTTGATTTATGAGATCTTTTAGTTTGTGATATTTTTACGGCTGCGGCCGGTTTTGTTTTTTCTTCTTCGATATCATTCATTCATTCAGAACTAGACATGCAATACCTGTGACTATGTTTCAATAAATTACAATATGTACCATGACACTGAAGAAAAGTTGTTATTTTTGTTTTATATGTTGCTTTGTCACCATTCGTATTAATTCATCTATGAACTACTTCTTCCTCTTCCTCTTCCTCTTCCTCTTCCTCTTCCTCTTCCTCTTCCTCTTCCTCTTCCTCTTCCTCTTCCTCTTCCTCTTCCTCTTCCTCTTCCTCTTCCTCTTCTTCTCTTCTTCTTCTTCTTCTTCTTCTTCTTCTTCTTCTTCTTCTTCTTCTTCTTCTTCTTCTTCTTCTTCTTCTTCTTCTTCTTCTTCTTCTTCTTCTTCTTCTTCTTCTTCTTCTTCTTCTTCTTCTTCTTCTTCTTCTTCTTCTTCTTCTTCTTCTTCTTCTTCTTCTTCTTCTTCTTCTTCTTCTTCTTCTTCTTCTTCTTCTTCTTCTTCTTCTTCTTCTTCTTCTTCTTCTTCTTCTTCTTCTTCTTCTTCTTCTTCTTCTTCTTCTTCTTCTTCTTCTTCTTCTTCTTCTTCTTCTTCTTCTTCTTCTTCTTCTTCTTCTTCTTCTTCTTCTTCTTCTTCTTCTTCTTCTTCTTCTTCTTCTTCTTCTTCTTCTTCTTCTTCTTCTTCTTCTTCTTCTTCTTCTTCTTCTTCTTCTTCTTCTTCTTCTTCTTCTCTTCTTCTTCTTCTTCTTCTTCTTCTTCTTCTCTTCTTCTTCTTCTTCTTCTTCTTCTTCTTCTTCTTCTTCTTCTTCTTCTTCTCTTCTTCTCCTCCTCCTCCTCCTCCTCCTCCTCCTCTTCCTCCTCCTCCTCCTCCTCCTCCTCCTCCTACTCCTCCTCCTCCTCCTCCTCCTCCTCCTTCTTCTTCCTCCCTCTTCTTCTTCCACTTCTTCTTCCCCTTCCCTTCCCTCCTTCTTCCCCTTCCCCTTCTTCTTCTTTTAAACTCATGAGGAATTATGAAACTATTCATATGAAAGAGCCATTGGTGTTATAAGATACAAATATTGCATGCTAAATTTTGTCAAAAGTATAGGGTTATGGTTCGAGTTGAAATTGGTTTTAGGTTTAGGTGCAGGGTTAGGGTAAGGGTTGAAGTCCAATTGGGTTCATGTATGAAATCATGGCTGAGCAATAGACCATTTTCTTAATGTAATCAAATTTAATGGTAAATCTTTGTTGAAGTGCCATGTTAGAAATTATTTCATTCACCTGTTACAAATAAGTGTATCCCAATAGTCCGAATGCGAATGGCATACATTAATCGTTGCTAGGAAGGACAAACATTATGGCTTGTCCTACCTACAATGTACCAACACAGAATGTATTGAATTCGCATTCTGAATATTGAAGTACAATTTTTTCTAATGGGTGCATTAAATAAAAAATGATTTTTTGACGTCGCAGGAGCAAGTGTCGTGCAACCATTTATTTCCTTCTCTTGCATTCTCATGTTTTTGTAGATTTCTTCTATACCCCCTTTCTCACTTCCACGTGCACCATCTTCATATTTCTTCTCTCGTCTACTCCAGTGATCTTTCTCTACCTTCTGTTCCCTATACCATCCATGTTTTCCCCTTTTTACTCTACCAATTCTCTGCAATTTTTTCTTTTTTATCTACTCTGTGTGGTTTATCTTTGATTTATTCACTTTACCTCTTTTCCTTCTGTTCGTACCCATGGTTTTCTAATATATTGCATATACTATCACTCTCTATCTCTTCTTCCTTTCTCATTTCTATTTCCTAATTATCAGCATCTTTTTGCTATATCTCTGCTCTGTATGTCCATTTTATAATTTTTTCATTTGACCTCTCTTTAATATCCCTCTTTTTCCTTCTGTTCATACCCTTGTTTTCTAATTTAATTTCATATACTGTAACTCTCTCTATTGTCTCCCTTTTTCATTGTCGCCACTTTCTCTCAACCCGTCTCTTTCTCTCTCATCTCTCACCCCTGTCTCTCATATTCTCTCTCTCTCTCTTGTCTTCCTTTCTCATTTTGGTCACCACTCTCTCTCTCTCTCTCTCTCCCTCTCTCTCTCTCTCTCTCTCTCTCTCTCTCTCTCACCCCACAGGTTCTTCCTATTTTAAAAAAAAGGAAAAAAAGAAAAGAGAATACTTCATTTTCATATCACATCTTTAATGGATTTCTTTTTCACATTCAATGAGAAAAAAAAAATCATAGAAATATATATTGTGATAAATGCCTTTTAATCTTATCTACACATAATTTCCTACCAATCAACTTCAAAAAAGTTCAGGTGGTGTGATTTACAAAAGATCTTTCGAAGCGTAAATGTAGAATGCTAATGCAAGTAGGTAACATTTGTCTCGCAACATTCACACAATTATATACAAGCTTTGATCAAAATATCTTTAAAATTCTCAACCTAAAGCGTATTTTCTTGAGCACGAAATTAAAAATAAAAACAAATTACAGAAAAATGCATTTCCATGCAAGGTGAAAAGGAAGGAAGGTAAGGGGTGAAAAAGAAAACAAAAATGGCAATAGTACTTTCAATCAACAACAGCAATAGCAGAAAACAGGTCATTAACTATATATGTAGGTATATGTGATAAAGAAACATGGATACAGATTTAACCCTTAAAACAAAAATCACTTTATATATGAAACATGTACCGTAAAAAAGGTTATTGGGAACAGGCCCAATTAAAAGAAAGAAGATAGGGTGCTTTTGTTACACTTGCATCCCCCCCCCCCCAGGAACGATGCAGACCCTATTTACTACAGGTGTATTTTTTTTCTTCACTTGTATAAAGAAAAAAATATGAATAGGGTCTGCATTCCTAAGACAAAAATGTATGAAACCCTTTTTCTTTGTTTTGTTCCTACATGTATTCTCCGTTTTAAGGTATATATTTTAATCGTCTCACAGAATCCCCTCACATATAGAGGAAGATATATATGAGGAATGAAGGAGGACAGACAGAAATTAGGGGATAGAAAGAGAGTATAAATAGAGAATAAATATAAGAGAAATCAGGGATAAATTGATGATGAATATGCAAATGGGAGATAAATAGAATATAAATATGTGAATGGGAGAGAAAATTGAAGATAAATAGGAGAAAAGGAACTAAAAGAAGATACATGGGAGGCAAAACAAGGAAGAGAAAATGAATATTAAAGAGAAGAGTCGGAAAAGGGTGATATTAGAGAGATAATGCACAAAGAAGACAATTTAAATGGTGAAGAAAAACAAATTGAACAGAGGGAATGGTAGAAAAGTACAGAACCAAACTTAATACAGGTATACAAAGAAGATAACCTAACATATCAAACATAACAGGCAATTATAACCCCCTCGGTTCCATAAATTATCTTACATATTTCCATATGCAATTCTAATACACTAGAATTTCAATGTTTTAATCTATACAAGGCTTTTTGTAATCATTTGGTAAGAAAGTTAGCTAACAATCCAGTGTACATTTAAATACGGGTGTCTACATGTATGTTTAAAGAATGATAAATCCTTTTGAAATGTGGACATGCAGAAGCAACTTATTGCAAGTTAGGTCTGTATTATTTACATGATTTCCATCACCTAACGATTTAATCATAAATAAATATATATCAAACACATTTTGATTCGTCATCATCTTCATTCTCTATACATTGTGATGTCTGTACAATTTATACATAAACTTAATTTCATAATTACATACTTCTTTCCCAAATAATACTATAATACAACTTAACCTCTATCAAATTGGAAAGATGCGAGTACATTCATTTACGTGTTAAATACACAGATCCTGACCAAAAAGTTCTGTCCAATACACTTGTATGTCCGTCAGTTCTTTACACCACAAATTTGGAAGTTATACTCGTGAAATGAGGATCTAATGTTTGCATGTGGGATTAACCGCCTAGCAAGTGTTTGAATGCCTTTTACATGTGCATGTAACTCGAAAACCTTTTCGACATGTGCACTACCATCAAATGTAAATGAACTCTAATAAGCAGGTACTTACAGTACATGTATATTGGGTTAATGGGCATGAAACATTTCCATGGATCTTCATGTACAGTCAAACCTGCTTTAGTGACCACCTGTCTACAAAGGCCACCTGTCTACAACAAGCACATTTTTGTTTCCCTTGAAAATGGTTTATCATTGAAACTTGTACTAAAGGAACCTGTACTTAAAGACCACCTGTCCACAACAAGCACATTTTTTGTTTCCCTTAAAATGGTTTCTCATTGAATCATGTACTAAAGGAACCTGTCTACAAAGACCACCTGTCTACAAAGACCACTTTTTGTGTTTCCCTTGGGCGGTCGCTGTAGACAGGTTTGACTGTACTTGTGTATCTCAACGTCAAAAGATGATTTTTCGAAGACTCTCAGATATTCCCTTTTAGCACTACCGGTAATCATTCGAAATATGTTTGCACTGCAAATATGACCCTGAATAGCTTCTGTACCTTCTAGCTCTCAAGAAGGGAACCTTGGAGCAATACAAATCACTAATGCCCTCCTACATGTGCATTCAACGAGATGGGACGAGATGAATCGCATCAAGAGTACAATGGTTGCTATATAAATACATGTTGTAGCTTGAGGTTTTGGTAGCTATTTGCAATAAAACACACACTGCCACCAAAATGTATGCATTCATTGTCACTAAGGAACTATTAAAGCAACAACAAAAAATGTAACCTCTCTTTTTAATAAGAAATAAGACTTAACAAAAATTTGAAATTTGTTAGAGATACATGTACACTGTGAAGTTTTTCACAGAAGTACTTGCTCCAATTCAACAAACTCAGTCATTTTTTTGTTTTCCAAGGTTTTCACCTCTCTTCCAGTTTAAATTCATGCAGTTTAGATGATATGGCATACATGTACAGATAAATACCAGTACATGCAAAGATCTTTCAAACATCATCTACATGCAACATCAGAGATCAGACACAAGTTTGCACAAGCACACAGATATATAATCATATATAATGTGCATGTATACAACGCTTGAAAATGTTTCTTTTGAAAAAGGGACATTACATGCGTCCTGATATACTCTGCCGTTGAATCTCCACAAGCAACATCCTCCCTCCCCATTCAATTCATAAAAGTCAAACTAGGGTTTGTATTTTGATAGTAATGTTGATTGGGAGATTGACATTGACCCACTAGTCTCACTGTAACTATGGAAACGTGTCACTCACTTATATGGTCAAGGACTCAATGATAGCTTTAAAGCAGGACTGCACTACTTGTAGCTACTTGCGCCCTCTATATAGCAAACAATGCCTAAGCGGTACCCATTGGTCCCCCATGATCCCCTTTTTCTGATGTTAATTGAGAGCTGATTTGATGAGATACCAACCTGTCAGTGACCACACAGGGAGGTCTAATCCCTCCTGGCCAAACTAGTGCAGACAGGCTTTAAAGCATATGTGCAGTGGGCAGCAGATAATGCCCAAAAAGGTAGAGGCTTGAACAATGCATGTCAACTCCGGAGGCCTTCCATTTTCCTCCCGGAAACAGAAACAATTTTAAGTCCTTTTATTGTGCAGTTTCCATCTATGGACGATATTTCATGGTCTAGTTTATGAATGATACAAGTCATACATATGAAGTCCAAATTGTTCACTCTTAGAAGTTTACTCACGACAACTGTCCAATAACATGGTGGCACAAAAGGAGCACTGCACTGCTCTGCCTTCAAGTAGGTGATGTCTACCTCGAGCAGATGATACTTGCAGTGTCTCACAGAGAGACTAGACAACGGCATCCATCTTCAGAGAGTCATTACAACCCAACGTAGAGAAATTAACATTAGGCAACTACGCGTTGGATCAGAATTACTCTGAGATTTCACGATGGTATAGAAGAAAGTTGAGGAGTGCCTTGGGTAAAGGGAGCTCCTGAATTTTGATTGATAAGTAGCTAGGCTCCACAGGTTTGTCCTTGTTGGCTAATTCCTCCTCCTCTTCCTTCTCTCTCTTGAGGCGTTGGAAGATGCCTTCGTCTGAAATGCCGCTACTTGACGATGCATCACTGAGGAGATCATCATCCTCGTGCTCGTCTCCGATATCATCCTCATCCTCCTCCACTTCAGCATATGTTGCGTCCATCTCAGTATCATCTATGGTTGCCATTGTCGTATCTTTCGATGATTCTTCCGTTTTGGAGTCGTCCTCCATTGCGTCCTGCACTTCGCTCTTGTCGTGCGTCTTGGAGCCGTTAGGGCCGGGAGGCGCTGGCTTAGATTTACCAAGTCCATTACCGCTCTTTCCGTTCTTTCTCTCCACCACCTCCTCATGCCTCTCATCCTCTTCTTCTACTTCCTCTACTTCCTCAGTAACATCCGTTGATTTGCCAGGTTGTTTTTCGCTTGGTTCACTTTCACTTCGACGATTGTGTTGGCGTTTGCGCTCTTTCGGGAAGGAGTTTCTAAACGCCCTCTTGATACTGAAACCAAATGCTCCGTTACCCCTCTGATCGCTTCTTTGACTTTCGCTATTATCATCATCGCTATCCTCCATGTCTTTGGATGAATCAGTCTTCTGACTCGTCTTTTGTGAACCTCCTTCTTTACTTGACCCCTCTCTTGACCCCTCTCTTGACCCCTCTCCTGCCCCCTCTCCTGCCCTGTCCCTCCTATCTCTGGGTCTAGCACCGTGTCCATTATCATCCGGTCTTTCCCTCTCGTCATCCGCATCATGCCACGCCTCTTCTTCTCCTTCCACCTCCTCCCTACGGCTGCCCATGTGTCGGGTGAAGAACGCAGCGTTGGTCATGAAGCGCTCAAAGCGGGCACGATTCCGACCCCTCCGCGTGTTGCTGTACTCCTCCTCCTCCCGCGATCGTCCCGCATCCCTACGGCGATTCCACGGACCTGCATCTCCTCCTTCGTCCATGGCATCCTCCTCCCTCTCCTCCTCCCTCTCCTCCTCCTCATCATCTCCATCCACCATGAAGTCTCCGGCCAGCTCCAGCATGTTGTTGACGCTGCGGATCATGATGCAGTTGTGCATGAGCCTGGGAGGCGAAGGTTGAGACCTGGGTTTGCGCTGCGCCCTGGGGCGGGGCTTGCGAGGGTTCTCCTTCTCCACGATGCCGCGCAGGTGGCGACGTATGTGAACACGGCAGACATCTTGGAGGACACGAGGCTGGACATCAGCTGTAGAGAGAGAGAGATTAGACAAGATGGGTTAATGATATAATTCATGCCTTAGCGTATCCAGTAACAGCAGCGTTTTCCTGCACTTTCCTATCTCAGTCTCTTCACACTGCATAGAAGATGCAACATTGGACCGTTCCAGGACTTCAACCCCCCCCTCCCCCGCCCTATTTTGCAGAAAACAAGAAGATTCTGAGGTTTTTAAAACATAGTAAACAAAGATATTGATTGTTAAACACTTTTCTCTGAACCATTTCAAGGATGCTCCTTGTTGGTATCTAGTAATACAGAATTTCAAGGATTTTAGAATCAACTCGAAGTTCCCAATTTGTGGATTTTATACTTCAAAACACCCCTGATATATTTAACATTGCCAGGAAGCCAGGAAAGACTTTTGCATTTAGGCAAGGGGGTGTTTCACAAAGATCCTAAGTTAAACTTATCTCCAACTTGGACTTAAAAATTATGGAAAGCTGTTAGCATCTATGAAAATATTTTGTTAAAGTTATTTTAAAAGGCATATAATGTTGATTCAATCATTCATATTTTTTATTATCAAGGAGATGTCATGTTCTTGATGTGGAATTTATAAAAAGTCTAAAATACCTGAATTTGTGCTTTTTAATATATTTTATTTTATGGCTACAAATGGCTCTCCATAATATTTAAGTCCAACTTAGAGTTAGGTTTGACTAAGGATCTTTGTGATCTTGGTCTGAGGAGATTCTAAGCTTTAAATGATAAATCACTCATCATAATTGGATATTCCAAACCCATTGAAAGAAGAGAAAGAATATTGAGTTACTTTTGAGGAAAGAATATTTAAAGTTTAGAGTCTTTAGAAACACTCTTGACTCATGAGATTTTATGCAAGAAAAAAAGAAAGGTATTAAAGCTCAACAAGAATTTCAGTGAGGAAATTATCAGAGTGTCCCAAACCGGCACACAAATCTAGTACATTCGACTCGATATTATGTCAAAGTATTATTATTAGTATTATTATTATTTATTTGGCATTTCAAACATACAATAGAAGATACAATAGAATGGCAACATAGGATACAAAGTATGAAAGATTAGCGGCTTACTCAATTTTAAAGTAAAGAGAGATTTACACAAGAAAATGAGACTAGTAATTTTGGAAGTACATATTAACAGAAAGTGTATTATTTCAGAAAATACCCCAAATTATGCTGGCTAAATACACCTTTAACTTCATGAGTTCTTACTGAAAATCAAACAGTGCACCTTTCATATTAGATTTGTGAAGCACAGTCACAAACTAATCAGGGTTTAATTGATATATGTACTTGATTAATTTGTTCTTGCCTATGAGAAAGGTAGAACACTGCATACCAAGTACAAGCAAAAGCTAAATCAACAAATTTCAAATCTTTTTATCAGACTCATTAGAAAAGTATATTTACATTTTGTTTCCTGCTTTGAAGAAAAAAAAACACTAACTGAAGATGTTAGTGCGACTTTTGTTTTGATTTCAACTTACGTGGGTGGAAGGCTTGAAATTTCTCTCCCTCTGCCAACGAGGGCAGTATGAGGGGAGCAAAGGACACCGCCTTCAGGTTCTTTGTTATCCAGCTACTCTGCCCCGTGCGCCTTATTTCAATCAACTGTTTAGTGTTTGGGGGTCAATTGGTCAGTGCGGGGGGAAATTGTGTCGAGTGGGGGATACCAGATCAGGTAGAGATTTTCACATCGGAGAGAGAGAGAGAAGAGAGGGACGGAGAAAACAAGAACAGAAACAATTTGGCTGTGGCTATTATGAAGGAAATCGTCATTGTGTCACATCAGAGGAAAAAGGAAGTATACAAAGTCAAATATGTTCATGAGAGTTATTCCCTTTTTCCTCGGAGGGAACTATGTCTGTGATGGCACCTAGGCTGATTATCGGGGCAGCTTTTAACACAATGGTCTGTCTATAAGATCTGAACCTGACTTTTTCTCTCAGAAATGTATATTCGATGCCACCCTTAAATTTGATTGCCATCAAAAACCTCTAAAAACGATCTAGATTGAACGTCTCAAAATATTTTTGCATGACTGCTTTTGGGGCGGACAGAGTGGTTTCACCGCTGCCACGCAAAAACATGTACAAGTTCATTTTATGCAATTGAGCAGAGATACATGTACATTGCAGTCCAGGTACACGTATGAGTAGACAACTGTGTTGAACAGGCGCACAATAAAAAAACAGGATCAAGCTCACTTTAAGTTTAATAGCTACCATCTTTATTCATTTGGCATCCATTCTAAATCGCTTCAAAAAGGCAAAACTGGGAATAAAGCTCAAGTGAAAATGGTCAAAGTGCCTTGGAACATCAGCCCAGATGCCTCCACCACACATCAAATACACGTAGAGATACAACGCTTGACTTACGAAGCTCAAGAGTTGCCAGTTTGCTGTACTCGTTCTGCGCCGGTTCTTGCAACGTGGCGAACGAGACTGAGAGGAGGTTTTTGGTTTCCCACGTGTATTGGCCAGTGCGAGAGATTTGCACCAGCTATGGAATAGGGTGGGTGGGGTGAATGGACACCGGAAAGATAAAATAATTGGCATTAGTTCTCTCTCTCCTTCGTTATCCAGCCACACACAAATACCTCAACAAGTTTCTGCAAATTAGCATAATTTTTTATCTCTGTTACACTTAGTTTTTTTTCTGTCAAAATGTCAACTAATCTGCTACCTTAAATGACTGAGTCACACTCGTGCAAAAACAGTTTGTTGAATACTTTCTTGAATTACACGTTATTTCCATAAACAATGGTGAGGCCTGTGAAGGATTGCAGGTTATTTTCAAATTTGTACATGAGCTATTAAAGAAGAATTAAGAGAATTATTATGCGCTGTGATTATCAAGCCTTTTAAGAGTAAAGGAACAAAGTTCACCATTCCTTATTTCATATTTATGAATGAAAAACCACATTATCAAATATTTTATTCCAAGTACATACAGTAAATTTACATGTTCAAGGACCGGTACACAGAGATACCAGAACATTTACAATGATTGTAATTGTAATTGAGCAGCAAATTGAATGCTTCACAGTGGAAGTGAAACCTCCGAGAGTAATTTATCAAATTTCAAATTAAGGCAATGCATGGGTCAGTAGCTTTGATATCATCTGGTTTAAGACATTATGGACTTCTGCACTTGCTATACAAACAAACTATATAGTTGAGGATTATTCTGTGTGAGTGTATATCTCATAGAATTTCTTGAACACAAATGAACTATCAAGAACTGTTCAAACTTTCAAAATATTTCAAAGAGAGAATTACCACTAAAATAAATATTACAGAACTGCATTTAGATCATTGCAATTTTGTTAGGGATGAGCAAGATAATAGAGAGATATAAGGAGAAAGAGAGAGAAAGAGAGAGAAAGAAAGAGAGAGAGAAAGAGAGGGAGGGAGGGAGGGGTAGAGAAAGAGAGAGAGAGAGAGAGAGAGAGAGAGAGAGAGGGGGGGAGGGAGGGAGAGATAAAGAGAGAGAGAGAGAAATAGAGAGAGAGAGAGAGAAAGAGAAATAGAGAGAGAGAGAGAAAGAGAGAGAGAGAGAGAGAGAGAGAGAGAAAGAGAGAGAGAGACAGACAGACAGAGAGAGAGAGAAACAAACAGAAGGGGGAGAGAAGGGGTAAGATAAAGGAGTATGAAGAGAGGGATTTGAAAGCAGTCAATGAAAAAAGGAGAGATGAAAAAGAAAATGTGAGGAGATACTGGTATAGAGAGAAGTAGTGTGTGATAGTGAAATGAAAAGGAAATAGGTGAGATAGTGAGGAAAATGGGAGAGTAACTGAAGGAGAATAACAGAGAAATAAAAGAAGACAGAGAAAGGCAAAGAAACAGGGATGGAGAGGGTGGGAAACAGATGGACAGATAGAAAGAGGGGAAAAAATGGGAGAGAAAGATAGGCAACTTGGCGATGAGGGGAAGAGGACAGTATGAAAGATGGAAGGAGGTATAAAAACGAAAAGGTTGGAAGATAGAGACAGATAGATACAGAGGTCTAGATAAGAAAAGAAAGAGAGAGAGAGAGAGGGGAGGGAGGGGAGAGAGAGAGATAAAGAGAGAGAGAGAAATAGAGAAAGAGAGAGAGAGAGAGAGAGAAAGAGAGAGAGAAAGAGAGAGAGAGAGAAATAGAGAGAGAGAGAGAGAGAGAGAGAGATAACGATGGGTCACTTGGAGATGAGGGAAACAGGACAGTGTGAAAGAGGAAAGGAGGTCTAGAAATGAAAAGGTAGGAAGATAGAGACAGATAGATAGAGAGGTCTAGATAAGAAAAGAAAGAGAGAGAGAGAAAGAGAGAGGGAAGGAGGGGAGAGAGAGAGATAAAGAGAGAGAGAGAGAGATAGAGATAGAGATAGACAGACAGACAGAAAGAGAGACCACACACACAGACAGAGAGAGAGAGACAGAGAGAGACAGAGAGAGGTTAACATAAGAAAAGAGACAGAGAGGGGGGATAGAGACAGATAGAGAGGTCTAGATATGAAAAGAAAGAGAGAGACAGATAGAGACATATAGATAGTTTTAGATAAGAAAAGAAAAGAAAAGAGAGAGAGAGAGACAGACAGACAGAGAGGTTTAGATAAGAAGAGAGAGAGAAAAGAGAGAGAGAGAGAGAGAGAGAGAGAGAGGTCACCCACCTGATCTTCTAAAGGCATCACCAGGACTCCGCCCATCTTGAGTAGATTCTTCATGTAGTTCTCATGTTCAGGGGGACAGGCTGCACCACAGTAGACCCTGTCATAGCTCCGACAGCCAGAGCTCAGCAGGAGACAGTTCCCTGATAAAAGGAAAGAGAATTTCATTCCAATACACAGTACTAAAAGATGCTGACCTGACATACGGTCAGGGGGTGTTTCACAAAGATCCTAAAGTTAAACTTAACAATTATGGAAAACCATTAGCATCTATGAAAATATATTGTAAAAGTTTTTTTAAAAGGCATAACTATTGAGGATCTTTGTGAAACAACCCCTGGTGCCGTGTCATGATATTTATTTTAATCATATTTATTGTGATTTTATATTAAACAGAATCAAGGTTTAATACTACTGATTCAAACATGAGAAAGCCCCTACGGTCATAAAATAGTCTAAATATCATTTTACATTGCCTTCCAATCAATTACGCCTCGGCCTATTTATGCACCAATAACGTTAATTCATTGCAGTCACAGAAATAAAAATATACCCCTCCCACCAATGTGACCAAATTCAAGACCAACAATCAACCAACAAATTAAGTTCAAATTACTTATAAATCTGTTGTAGAAGAAATTTGTTGGCTTGCACCCAGTAGACAAAAATCTTGTGCTCGATATTGGAATTAAAAACAAGTCGCAGCAAATCTTGGAACCAGCAGGATTTGAACCTGCCATGTAATGCTTGTCGGGCAGGGACCCTACCACCAGGCCATCACTGGTACATGGCACAGTCATGATGAACTAGAAACAAATAACTCAGCTCTCCAGACTTATTCTGACTTATTCATTCATGATCCGCCCGCCATTAGGACTTGAGCTTTTTCTTCAGACTTGTTTTCAACTACAAGATCGAGCAAGCAATCTTTATCTACTGGGTGCAAGCCAAAAATTTCTTTACAACACTTGAAACTTCGCCCAGGAAGCCTTACAGTCAATAGGCATGTCTTCATCAGCTTGAGATTGCCAAATAGCCCGCTATTTCGGATTTTGGAAATAATCCCAAGGATACAAATCGCGTCTTCATCAGCTCAAAACTTGAAACTCAAGCTCGAGAAATTAGCTCGAGATATTTTGCTCAGCCCTTGCGCATAGTGCGAGTCTTCGGGCTGGTGAAGGCGCACTGGAAAAATAGCGGGATATTTTGCAAACTAGCCCAAGATATCTTGGGATGATTATCTCAACCAAATATCCCGCTAATTGCAACTTCGGGTTGATGAAGACGCAAATTAACTGGATAATTTGCTATCTGGATAGTTCAAATAGCGGGATACTGGCAATCTCGAGCTGATGAAGACAGGCCTCATGACTTTAATCTGTTGGTTATCAGCGGGGTCAGGTGGCCTGAGATACATTTCATACGCCAGCCTTGCACTCACCTTTTATAAAGATTGGGTCACAGAATTCATACAGATCAACGGAAGGCGATCTATCGAGGAACAGTTGCAGACGTTCATTGGCGTAGTCAATCACGTCTTGGTGGATCTCTATGCCGTGGTTGACCCCGCTTGAACCTGGGAGGGCGATAAAATAAGTGTTGAAGCGTTAAAGGACTGGCACTGTAAAACCTTGAAATGATAATCCCTTTCAGCAGCTCCAGAAGTTATCTTGGAATGATGATATGCTGAGTGATAGTGTGAGGTGGCAGGGTGAAGACTTGGTCTCCAAAATGACTTTAACAGATAAAATGAATGGGCTTACAGCTTTTTCACACACAGCTAAAATTCATCATTTCCAGAGATGATTAGAATCACTCAACAGTTTTAAACATGTTTATAGAAAAATTTTCCCAGTGTGAACATCGTTTATACGATGTTGGGATAGATACGAAGTCGCGATGCATACGCCCCTAAAAGCAGGCTGCCGATACAAAGTTCGTATCTAAAGAGCTTGACATTTTGTGTGTGAAAGGTTTTTCGTGTTTAAACGTGTTTAAACTGGATGGAGCGACCGCTCTGTTTGATATGACCTGACCTTCAATGCGCAATGGCACTACTGCGCATTTTACGAGCAGTAGTTAATCACGAAACGATTAACGATCGCAACAAAATTTCTGTGTGTGAAAGGCTCGTGATTAGTTTAAACACGTTTCAAACACGTTTATACTAATCATGAATATAGAATTTTAGCTGTGTGTGAAAAGGCTGCTAGATGTACTTCGATCTACAGGAAGGTTGCCTAGTTTGCATCCTTGCCAGCAAGAGCCTTGCCATCCCATACAGGTGTCGTAGTCGAGTGGTATAACCACTTGCTAGAAATAGAAAGGTTATTGGTTCGATTAAAGTCCCTGAGCAGAACATTTCATCTACATGTTTATTGCTCCTATTTAACCAGGTGTAAAATGATTACCCGTTAGTTGATGTGTCGTTCCTACAACGAATGACTGGTTGGAATGCTCCACAGGGAGTGAAGAATGACAATGTGCAATGTAAAGTACAGAATCCTAACAGAATCCAATGGGTAATAGTACAAAAACGCTTTGGTCGGTTAAAGCGTTTTCTTAAAAAATTAAAAAAGTTATGATATCTCATACTGGATTGGTATTACTATAGATAACCCTTCCATGAAACAGAAAATGCAATGATGGAACCGAAAAGTTAACCAGAATTATTTTCCAGCTAAAATCATGTAGTCCCTAGGACCTTTTCATTCAGTATACAGTCATGTAGATTACTAATTCTTTGATGGAAGAGTTTCGTTTTTATCACATGGATGCACGTACCTGTGGCACATATCGTCGCTGTTTTCACGAAGTGACGGTAGTGAAAAAAAATGCATTCACTTTGCGTGACGATTTTCCTCACTACCGTCACTTCGTGAAAATAGGGACGATATAATACATCTTAGGACAAGATGTAGCTCAGGGCCCTGTTTCATGAAACTTGTTATCCATAACACTGACTGTTATAAGCTACTGAAATCGTGGCATTCCATTGGCTCAGAGCACATTTGTCGAAGATCTGTGGCAGTTGATGTTGATGACAAGTTTTATGAAACGGGGGGGGGGGGGGGGGGGTTTCATAAAGCTGTGCGTAAAGTTACGCAAGACTTTACGAATGACTTGAATATGAAGAGCTAAATGGGATTTTCAATTCCTTTTAATTGCATAAGCTCAAGTTGAAATATGCAGATGTAGATTAACCTTATCATTATTAAAGGTACTATGTCCCTTTTGCAGCCAACCTCAAATTCTGTAGAACTTTGCAGGAATTATGAATATGTCATGTATGTCCTACAGTATCTGTTAAATTTAAACATTAGCAGTGTCCTAATATTCAAATTATGCAAGGAAACCTATTTACTTGCTATGCTAGACTTCACTGTCATACACTATTGAGTGACTGACTGGCTTTTTTTCTTCTCTGGCAATAACATACATAAAATGAGCTGTAAAGGGTACATGAGCATTTGTCTACATCAATAACCCACTTCTTGTGATGGCCAAAATTAAACTGATTGAATCTTTGTGCAGCATAAAACTTATGACCATTTGGTATAATGGTCTGAAAATCAACACTATTACTTATTGGCTCTATAGCTCCTAAGTCGATTTGACAACTAATAGTCATTATTTTCCCACTTGAAGACTTTTTCAAGCCCCAGTTTCTTTAGGGAAGTTCTAAATTAGTATTATCTGTCAAACGCTGTTGGAATTTAACCTTTTCATTTTTTTGGCCTGCAAATGGGACATAGTACCTTTAACAAAACATTTTAATGCAAGGTTTATTTTGGCTACAATTTAATTGAGATTATAGGAAATACATGCAGTCACACTTTGTTAAAATGTCAAGACAAAACTTTGGGCATCTCATTTGCATGGCTCTTCATATTCAAATCATTTGTAAAGTCATTTGTAAGTTTACACACAGCTTACACGCAGCTTTATGAAACACCCCCCAGGACTGACTAAGCAGAGAACGCACCTATAACCAGACCGACCATGGTACTCAGGTAGCCCGTCCCACTCCCTAGGTTAAGGAAGGAGAGCCCCGGCTCCAGCTTCAATGCCTCCATCACTTCGGAGTAGATACAAGGAGCTGACAGGTGGATGTTGCCATGCTTCCAGGCAAGATCCTTGTAGGCACTGTCCTTGTGTCCTGATAATAAAAACACATACAAGAAAGGAAGAAAGAAACAAAAAATGTATTTGAATCGTTGGCAAATATTAAAGCAAGAAGTAGTTACATGTACATTACATTGCAGGGAAATGTTACCAAGCAAATTGAAAAGCAAAGTCTTTGTAGGAAAGAGATGTGGAGCATTTTAAAAAGAGGTTGCCGGCAATGCCCTACGCATGCAAATAGTTTTATTAAATTATGCGGTGTACCATATGAGTCTACTATAGAAGGAGAAGGAGAAGGAGGAATAGGAAGAGAAGGAGGAGGAGGAAGAGAAAGAGGAGGAAGAGGAAGAGGAAAAGAAAGAGGAGGAGGAAGAGAAGGAGAAGGAGGAAGAGGAAGAGGAAGAGGAAGAGAAAGAGGAGGAAGAGGAAGAGGAAAAGAAAAAGGAGGAGGAAGAGAAGGAGAAGGAGGAAGAGGAAGAGGAAGAGAAAGAGGAGGAAGAGGAAGAGGAAGAGAAAGAGGAGGAAGAGGAAGAGGAAGAGGAAGAGAAAGAGGAGGAAGAGGAAGAGGAAGAGAAAGAGGAGGAAGAGGAAGAGGAAGAGAAAGAGGAGGAAGAGGAAGAGAAAGAGAAAGAGGAAGAGGAAGAGAAAGAGGAGGATGAAGAAGAGGAAGAGAAAGAGGAAGAGAAAGAGGAGGAGGAGAAGGAGAAGGAGAAGAAAAAGAAGAAGAGAGGAGGAAGAAGAAGAAGAAGAAGCTACCTCAATTTGACAGGGAAAAAAATACACGGGGGCTCGGGGCGAAATAACCCCCGAAAGTCATTAAAAAAAAACCTCAAAATTTTCATAGAGTTCAATGCAAAACAAATTCAAGAGTGTTACTCTCATGCAAGCAAACTTGAAAAGTAGCCCCTGAAATTATTTGTTTTCCCCCTGCAATTTGAAGTATTTTCACAGCTTGTTAGATACATTTTTTTTTAAACACTTAACAAAAATTATGCTTGTACACAGTGCACTGTTTTGTAATATCAGTATTCATTGAAATGCTAAATGAAATGGTGCTTAGCTATAAATAGGGAAGCATTCTTGCCTAAATTCATGTCGCGACTGTCATCAGATGAGTTCTGTTCAGCAATTACTTTACACTACAGGTACATCATATATGCACACGAGAAAATCAATTAGTTTAAAAAATATGTCTCAGAGGCTCTTCCAACTATAACCCTTTCTCTCAATTATTGAAGGAAAGTGTGCTATTCATTTGACGATTAAAGTCAACATCAGAACTTCATGTTGTCTGCTGAAAGATGGAAGGGTGCTAACTCATTTTATTTTCACACAGAGCTCACACCCTTTTGACGCCCCCTTCATGTTTTATTAGGCCTGTCCTCATCAGCTCGAGATATCCCGCTATTTGAACTATCCCTATCGCAAATTATCCAGTTAATTTGCGTGTTCATCAGCCCGAAGTTGCAATTAGCGGGATATTTGGTCGAGATATTCATCCCAAGATATCTTGGGATAGTTTGCAAAATATCCGCTATTTGTCCGGTGCGTCCTCACCAGCCCGAAGACTCGCACTATGCGCAAATGCTGAGCAAATATCTTGAGCTCGAATTTCAAGTTTTGAGGTCAAGTCTCGAGCTGATGAAGACGTGATTTGTAACTTCGGGATTATTTCCCAAATCAGAAATAGCGGGCTATTTGGCAATCTCGAGCCGATGAAAACGAGCCTTTTGACTGCTGAAAGGAGGAAGGGTGCTAACTCATTTTACTTTCAGCAGATGATGAATGCCCTCAAATCCCTGGGGGGGGGGGGTGTCAAAATGGATACGGTAGACAGGAATAAAATGGACAGGGTTAAGAAGGCAATTCGCCCTTAAACTCTTTAGAGGACCCAATCAATTTATTTTAAAAAGTGTCATCATTCATGAGATATGTCACTGGCTTAAATGCATGTAGCCTCAAAGTAGTCTCAAAAATAAACTTATACTTTCTACCATGCTAATGGAAAGATTTTAAGGCAATGTTGCAAAGTATTTATTTTATTTTGTTTTCAAAATAGGCAGAATTCCTTTTGTAACAAATCAACATCTCAAGTATCTCTTTCTTAAAGGCTTTCTTTTTTTCTTTCAAGTGCGCCCATGTCATGCTAAAAGGCATCAAGCCGAAAATATCTTCATTTATTATACATGTATATCTTGTTCACTTAAAATATTGTACATCAAAGGGCAGGATTACATCTTATTTTTCAGCATACCTACACTTATTCTTTGGGGTGAGGTTTCATTTCAGTGTCAAGTGGAGGAGTATATGCATCTAGTCAAAGTCACTCTGTTTTAAACTTCAGAATAATTCTACGACAAACACAGAGGCTGACCCACTTTCTATTGGATGTAAACAAATGTAATATATCATGTACATGTATATCATGATGGTTCAAATGACCTTCGAAGCACAACTGAACAAGTAATCTCTAGTCTCTGTAGAAAGTGTACTTTCGTACATGACATCAAAATGTACTTCCATAATGCAACAAGAACAGCTAGCATTCACCAGGTGAAGAGAATTGCTGCATACATTCTCATGTTACCTGACCTTTTCATTAATACAGTACTTGTACATCAAGAGGTGCCTGAGTTATTGCAGGTTGACATTAATATTGCATGTACAAGTACGTACGTTGATAACAGTCAAAGCTCTTTGTCTTTTACGAGCAACCCTGTGGGATTTCGCTGTATATTGGTCGCCATGTTTTTATTCCTTTTCTTTTTCCAAAGGTGCCTCAGAATGTTATTATTAAGTATTTGGCATCAAATGTGTCTAGGAATGTTGGAAAAGAATTGTATTATTCAATTTTCAAATTATTTGCTGTTTTATCATTATTGTTATTTTTGGAGGGGTGGGTGGGGGGCTCAGTCTTATACAGAGCTTTAGGTCGATTTATCTTGTTTATATTTTTTGTTTGCCATGGTTTTTGTTTGTTTATAAATTTGTTTATGTTTTTTTCTTCAGTTTAGCTGTTTTTAGAATTGATTGAAATACAACTGAACTGTGAGAATCCAAAATTAACTTGAAAGATTTTGAAAGCATTCATTGCATCATAAGAGGTCGAAAACAGCAGAAATGGAACTTGCATAAAATACAGAGACACACTAACCCTTCCCTTACTACTATTTACAAGCACTACAGTGTGTGTTAATCATTGACATTTTATTCTAGCCTTTTCAAACCCTCTCAGCCCTGTCGCCTTGTAACAAACTCAATTTAACATGAGCAAACCCACCTGATTGAGAACCTAATCCATCAGCAGACTTTAAATCAAGTTTGCTTTTATGCTTTTATTTTTGCTTTTATGTAAAAGTATACATACTTTGTGATTACAACATGTACATGTTTGTAACTAACACTCAATGTCAATCAATACCAGTACATACATCTCACATCCAATAATACACTGAATGCAGGTTAATGTCTTCCTCAAAAAGTAAGAATCCTTGAATCCAGAGTTCCAGACATTTACATGTACATGTAGATTGTATACAAGTATCAAATACAAAAGAGCAACAACCCTGTTTGCTTTAGATTAGTACTCTCTTTTAAAAAAAGAGTGAATTTTCACTCTATTTTCACTTTCTTGGGAATGACGTCCGTGATCACTTGTTTAGGAGTGAAAATCGATTGATTTAGAGTACTCTCTAAGAAGAAAAGAGTGAATGTTCACTCTATTTTCACTACATTTTCACTCTCCAGAGGAGTGATGTCTGTGATCTCTCGATTTTTTTTAGGGAGTATTATCAACTGAATCATAATAAAAGGGTCCAAGCCTTTTGAGAAGACAAAAACAAAAACAAAATCAATAACAAAAACCTATCTTACATGTACTGTACATGTAAAGTACATATTTATGGTATATGTGTGAAGACTCATATTCTGCTAATAAAACAGTCAGGGCTTCATAATGTGCTTTACTTGCAGGTATCACTTTCTTCTTCGCTTTCCACTCCATGTCCTATTCCTGTCTTCCTAATTCACTTTCCAATAAATGCAGGTTTTTCCCCTCTCTCTCCCACTTTCTCGCTTGTCTCAATTAACTTCTTCCTTCTATTTTGTGTCTTTAAAAACACACTTTTCCCCTTTATGTTTCCCTTGAAGTCTTAATTCCTCTGGTTTCTTCTTCTTCTTCCTTTCCCCTTTAAATAGACTGTGCCTTAAAGGGATCGTTTAACAATGTTAATCTGAGATACACGGCCCTACGTGGTATCAGTGTCTGTGATATGGTGTAATATTGAAGCCTTAAAAAAATTGCGCTTCAAAATGATCAAGAAGTGCCTCAAAAAAGTAAAAATCTTTGAGTGACCGGTTTTACCATACTCGTTTTCCCCAATAGACAGTAGTGTTATGAAAACCGTCAGGCGAACGGTTTTAAAAAATGTGTAATTCCAATCATAAATATCTTGATAATCAGACAGGCAATCGGCTTGTAAAAGTCAAGGGGTTCCTGACTGACCTAAAGGTTTATAATTATCATTGCAGCATGAGCTAAATCCAGAATTTTGTTTCAGAATCTGAGACAAAGTTACCGGATCCCTTTAAAGGTAATACAAAGTTTTGGTATGGGGTCATGAATTTAGTTCCAACGAACATATTGGAAGCATATATGCGATCCTACAATAATCAGTGATCATTGTCCCGGTTGAAATCGAGTCTAAATTGATGAAATTGTAAATAATAAACTCTTTATGTTGTATAGCGCCCTCTCAAGGTCAATGTATTAATTTAGCTATAAAACAATGTTATTTGACTAAAATCGACCGATTTGCTATTACCGTTTGGAATATAAATAGCACAACTGCATATTCTGAGATTTTCATGGTCGCAGCTACCATCGTATGGCAGTAGGCGCTATTTTAAATTTATCAAAATTTACCAGAAGCACCGGTAATTTCTTATATTCATTTTTTCTCGAAAGCAGAAGTGTTTTAGAGTCTAAATCTTTTGGTGCTTATAATACATCCACAGGGGCATCCACATATATCAAAATTGTAAAGAATCACTATCCAGCCTATTTTCAAAATTTACCAAAACTTTGTAATACCTTTAATTTCCTGCCTTCCTTTCTCTTCAAATAACAGTCATATACATGCTGATGATCATTGACTCTTATCTTATCTCCTCCTTCTATTTTCTGTCTCTTATTTAAGTGGAATGCACTTTCAAAGATCACCCTTGACGCTACTTCACTGGAGGGCTTCAAGGGAGCGCTTCCACCAAGCATCTAGACCAAGAACTAGATAGTTTATTCCTCAGCACTACATCCTGACTTATGGATCCTGCTGAGTATCGTCGTAGAAGTAGAAGTAGAAGTATTAAAGATGTACGTTTCCCCCTTCATGTTTCCCTTTAAGTCTGTCATCCTCTGGTTTCTTTTTCTTCCTTCCCCTTAGACCTTGTCTTTCCTGACTTCCTTCTCCTTCAAATGGGATGTATACATGTACATGCTGATGATCATTAATTCTCATCTCAACTTCTTCCTTCTTTTTACTGTCTTTAAAAACATATTTTTCCTTTTCATGTTTCTTCCTCTGGGTTCTTCTTCTTCTTTTCTTCCCCTTAGACTGTATCTTTCCTGTCTTCCTTCTCCCTTAAGTACAGTCATACAGTGTACATACATGTACATGTATGCAGATGATCATTTACTCTTATCTCAACTTCTTACTTCTATTTTCTGTCTGTTAAAAATACTTTTTTCCCCCTACATGTTCCCCTTGAAGACTCAATTCCTCTATTTCTTCTTCTTCCCTTCCCCTTTAGACTGTGTCTTTCCTGCCTTCCTTTCTCTTTAAATAACAGTATAAATGTATGCATACATGTACATGCAGATGATCATTTAATCTTGTATCTCAACTTCTTCCTTCTATTTTCTGTCTGTTACATGTACATATTATTTTCCCCGTCATGTTTCCCTTGAAGTCTTTATTCTCTGGTTTTTTCTTCTTCTCTTCCCCTTAGACCGTACCTTTTCCATCTTCCTTCTCTTTCAAATGAGATTGATACGCTGGAATGCTCCCCAAGGTGGAGATTGTGCACACGTTGTGTGCGGGCAACCACTGAATCCAATGACCAGTGTAATATACTTGTATAGCGCTTAGAGACATTTTTACTAAGCGCTATATACAAATTAAATATTATTATTATTATTATTAATACTTTTCCCCTTTATTCTTCTGTTAAAGTCTTTATTCCTCTGGTTCTTCTTCCCTTTCCCTTAATTAGACTGCATGTGCCTTTCCTGCCTTCCTTCTCCCTCAAGTACAGTCATACTGTATGCAGATAACATTAACTTAATTCTTCCTTCTATTTTCTGTCTCCTAAAAATAGATTACTTTCCTCTCTCTCCCTTGAAGTCACTATTGCTCTGCATGTGGATTGTCTCAAAAAACCATCAAAGCACATCTACAACGAGTCACTTTTTCATGTATGAGTTGGAAATATTGAATACTGCTTGTAAGCCCAAGTTGTCCTGCTGGGCTTCTTATAATACCGTAATTAACGGTGTATTAACCGCACGTTTTTGCCGCCGACGGTACACCAAACAAAACAAAACAATTAAAAAAAAAAAAAAGTTTTAAAGTTTTTATTTATGCCCCTCCACCTGGCTGGCACTATGCCTGGCAATGTCTCCCAGCTCAGTAATCGGTGTGTTGACTCACCACTTAGAAACTAGAACAACACTCAAATTTGTCTGTCATCTTGGTTTGAAAGTAATCTTTCCGATAGATTTCAATATGTAGTTTATAATAATAATTCCTCCAATTTTTCTTCTACATTACACGGCGTACCACAAGGTTCTATCCTAGGTCCTCTACTGTTTTTTAAGTCGGCAAAAAAAAAAGTCTGCAATTTTTTATTTTTTTTTAGGGCGAAAAAGAGGGGTGCGGTTAATACACGAGGGCGGTTTATACAACGTTAATTACGGTACTTGTACAGTACATTATATCCATGTTATTAATAGTTATACTAAACGAACTGTATTGGATGGGTTGAGACTTTGGACTGATTTCCATTACATTATGTACAAGTATGTTGATGTACATTATCATCATATTTTTATGAGAGCAGGAAATATTCCTATACACTACATGTAGCTCTATATCACAAAATACATTGCACATGACTTGGACTTCCTTAAATATGAAACACTAGATTTGAAGGTTTATGTTTTAATGATACTATACAGCAGATTTGAACTATGACTCCGTTTCATTGACAATCAGCCATGCATGAAGACTCTCATCTACGGCTGATTGTCAATGAAACGGAGTTGAGTCTTTTGTTAATTTCGTTTATTGATACGGCGGGCAGCCAGCGAAAACGAATTCGTTTAATAAAATTATGGAAATGCAAGCACTACTTTAAACAAACAGAACTTTGTCATTCCTCGCTCATTTTACCAGATTGAGGTGTCATATGAAAGGGCAGAAACTCAACTTTCTAGAAATGTGAATTTTTCTTCAAAATTCAGATACCGCCCGTCAAATGTCTTTTTGGTTTACTTCCTTCAAATTGCTTTTAATCACTCATGCGTGAAATATGCATCATCTGAGTAGCATCACATGAAAGAGGAGACTCTAAGCTTTCCAAATATAAATGTATCATTCATTAATTATAGTTGTGATTAAGTTATGATAGAACATCGATAATTCTCGGTTTCATTTTTTCTGGGACGCACTGTACAGTAGACTAGTCCACAAGCACAATTTTGAAACTGACACTTCAAAACATCTCTCTTCTCTAGAGTCAAGTCTACAAGTAATTTGTAAACAAGCTTTATTATGGTTGTGTCAGACATACTAGAGTATCTACATGTAGGCCTACGGGTACATGTACATGTAAGTGTTACCTTTAAAGGGGAAATCTCCCGGGGGCCCCCCCCCACTCCGGGGTCGGAATGATCGCATGCGTGTTACCAGAATGTCTGGTAAAGGGGTACTTTTCATGCACCAAAGTCCGGCTCGTACATACACAAAATTGACTTTACACACCGGACTTAGAGATGTTTTTAAAAGGAGGGAACACGCATAAGCGTACCCTAAATAACACTGAGTAGGGGGGGGGGGCGGGAGAAATCTACCCTGGCAATAGTATACTGTAGGTTGGTTTTAATAGAAGCAGAAAAATAAGAGGAACAGGAAGTTTCAGTGAAAGTTTGAACAAATTCCAATTAAAATAGAGTAGTGATCAATCAATAAAAAATTGGCAATACTGTACTATATATATCTTGTGATCTCCTCTCCAATTTGCTCTGTACATACAATTTCCTAACTTTCATTTTCTGTTATACATGATGAAATCTCTTTTTCATCTAGGGGTTGTATATCACAAACATATATTTGCAATAATTATATTTAGGGTGCATGTACATGTATGATTGAAAATTGTATTGAGGGAAAATACAAATTTCAGATTTTTTTAGTACAGAGCAAATAAGAGGGGAGCTTGCAAGATACATGTATGTCACAGGGTTGCCAATATGTGTTTGATTGATCGCAACTTCAAAAATTCATAACTCTTTTTTTTTTAAATGTGATTTCTAAATTGAATTAACAAGTAAAATAAACTGATAAAATGAATCAATCGTTTCTCTTCTTAAGAAGGGCCCCAGGTCAATCATAATGGGAGTGCCATTCCCCCTTGGACCCCTCCCCTAATAACTTAAACCATTTAAAACTTGAAAGCATGTTGAATATATTTCTCATCCTATTTGTATGGAAACAAAGGGGGTGAGGATCGATTGTCTACTAACTTGAGAGAAACTAATTCTCTTGCACTTACCAAAAGTTGCATAAAACCTGTGTAACTAAAGTTGTCCCACAACAACCTCAGTTTTTACAGTGCTACATGTAAGCTCTTAATGTAGCTAATTTGTTAAGTCATAGCTCTTATTTTTTTCCTTTCCCTTTTAATGGGGGGGGGGGGGGGGTCATTTTGAATGGCAGTCAAAAAATAATTTCCGTAATGTAATCAAATTTAATGCATACATGTACATCTTTAAGTGATTGTTTCAAATATTCCAATTCACCTGTTACATGTAAATGAAAGGTTGTACATGTATCTCAATAGTCAGAATGCGAATTGCATATAATTTGTTGTTGCTAGGTAGGACAAACATTATGGTGACTGGTCCTACCTCACAACACATAGTGTATGCAGTTCGCATTCTGAAATAATTTGTAACAAGGCACTTAATAAAGATTTATAATGCATTAAATTTGATTACATTATGAAAATGGCTTATTGCCCAAAGTCCCCGAGCGCCAATTTTGAACTCATTTCACTGAAAGCTACCGGTATTCTTACTTCTGGAGTCCAATTATTGCATTGTGGCATAATCCGTGAGATAGTAGTCACATCTACAGCTCCACAGCTTTGAAGATAACCTTTAACAAAACAAGACCTTTTGCTTGATTTTTTTTCGGGGGGGGGGGGGCATCTTTTAGGGAGCCATTTGCCCTTTAGATCCTGTACAAGTCAAGCATAATTCAATTTACAAGTGTAATCTTAAAGGAGGTGTAGCATGGCAAATACTGGTTAGCGCCATCTACGACTTCTTTTGGACAACTGCATGTAAACGAATGGACTCGATTAACGATCAGCGCGCGCTAGCCTTCGGGAAAGAGACAGAAATTCTCTTCACGCTTCGGTTTCGCAAACATGTATGTTGCACGTACATGAATACTGCGGTCGTGTCGTCCGTAGTCGTATTATACCTGATTGGCCCCGAGTCAGGCCACTGGACATGTAGTGTTGTCATGCTACACCCCCTTTAACTGCATGAAAGCTTGACATCTTGATTCTACCTTGTGACCAGTCTTACCTGCCAGATAGTAGTCACCTCTGTCCACAGCTCTGAAGACATCTTCAACAAGATTTGATTTGATGTAATCTGCGTCTTTGAGGTTGTCCACTAGATGGTCATTATTGATCCCGGCACTCACTGCTCCACCCATCCTGTGATGGGTACAAAAAAATAATGAAAATATAGGATACATATATGAACTGTCACTCGCCTGGAAGAATCTTGAAATATCTGTATGTACCATTGTTAATCACACCAGTAAGTTTGTTAAAAGATATTTATAATCAAAGGTATGTTTTTGAGTGTATCGTCTTTGTTTTATGAATTTCTTAACATCCCCTATTTGCCGGCGTAAAGGCCGCAGTATTTTTGGAAGAGAAAATATCAAAAAGTCGGAGTAGGCCTATGTGGCGAAAGAGTAAAAAAAATTTAAAAAGGAAGTCAAAACCAGCACGAATTTGCACATATGGGACTAGATCTACGAATGGTACAATAACTATACATTTCCACACATCTTACCGACAATTTTATCTTGCATTGTTGACATGAAGACGAAAATAAACTTCCAAAAACAACATCTGCCGAGAGATCTTGATCTATATTCGTGCCAATGCATTGCAAAAGTAAAAGAAGGGCCCGTTTAACGGAGCTGCCGCGAAGCATCCAGCACGCGAAGTCGCTATTTTGAATCCATTTCAATACACAAGAGAGAGGCGCAATGTATACATCACAGAAACCTCCATATGCTAGCATCAGTGCGGGATGGCCGTGCGGTCTAAGGCGGTGATTTTAGTCACATCAACATTTGTACGCAAGAGATAAAATCAACAACAAACAATTTTTTTTTTTTTTTTTTTTTTTTTAATGTCAAAATCGGGGGTGCGGCCTATACGGCGCTGTGGCCTTATCGCTGGCAAATACGGTACATAACTATTATTCTAGGATGATATTATAGTCCCCAGTAAGTTGTTAATTTTGATGAGCACGTATCGGAGTTGTATAGGCATAGAAGGCTCGCGCGGACAATTTGGAAGATCTTGCCCTCCCGAATAGTAGAATGTATAGTGATGTGAAAATATTTTGTGATTCAATATTTCATTTCATAAAAGTTTTGTGAATCTTAATCTACATGATCTAAAATGTACTGTACATGACTTAAACTTGGAAACCCCTCATACAGTACATAATAATATTCATGTAAGTTTCTGCTTGGCAATAACATTTGTTGGCTCAACTTTAGAATACCCCATTAAAACATGCCTAATCTTCGTTGTATGAAGTAGCATTTAACGAGGAAGAAGAAGAAACATAGTATGTTCGTTGGTCTTCCAATGTACCATTTAATTCTGTCCCTTAGTATTTGTGACCAGGCGCATACGGCATCTTTTCACCTATTCACTGTGACCACCTATTAAAACTGCACTTGGCAACCTAAAAACTAGCTACCGGTATATAGGATGCCCGGCTGGCAACCAAGAAAGAAAGTTAAGTGAGAGCCCTGTCATCAGTTGGGGTGCTGGTCCGAGAATAAGGATTGCCCGCATTTTCGCGGATGATTCTTATTTCTGATCTGCGCATTGGCGATGCAAGAAACGTATTCCTTGATGATTTTCTTGATGCATTTCACATTGACTTTGTACAGGGACTTTCACTTTAATATTAGTGATAAATCCTCGGGAAAACGGACAACCAATGAAAGTAGACGGTGAACTGGGGTTATTTTCCTACGCAGAATCTGTTTTTCGCATCGGCAGCGCACGGTTCAGGACCCAAAACCTGCAGAGCGTCGAAGAAAAAAACGTCTGCGAAAATACGGACGATCCCTATTTTTTAGGACACAATTTCTGAGTTTACAAGGATATCCTTGTTTATGCGGACGATTATCATTCTTAGACCAGCGCCCCTACTGATGTATGTTGGTACGTTGGCACATTGGTAATATACATCCATGTCTTCCCAACTTACATTGCCCGTTGGCACGTATTAAAAATTGGCAATAGATCTAGAAAGTCTATATTTTTCTCTGTTGGTCGACCGAAACGAAAACCCTCAATTCGCGTGGTAGAGTATTCTAAAGCTGTTCCCATTTGTTTAAGTAGCCCTGTCTGATCATAAAATGCCTAGACCTACTAAAAATGACCCACTAGACCTACTAAAAATGACCCACAAGACCTTAGCTGGTCAACACAACATGCACAATTACTAATCAGCTGTTATTTGCCTCCCTGGCCGCTGGCGCCTAGCCTGTGCCATGCAGAAATTGCACTGCACTGTGACTACACGGTAGCATTGCCATTGCCATTGCATTGTTTAGCACTGGAAATATGCGACATCCCGTTGTTTACATCTAAACAGACGACAATTTGCAGAATAACAGCCCGTTTTATTTTAATTAATGGACACAAACTGTAGAGGAAACTATTATTCTTACCTGTCCAATATCGGATATCACCAATGGGAGAGCAGAATTCGGAAAATATTGATGGTTTTTGTGCTGAAGAGAGCAGAAGTTATCGCGACATACTTCCAGGGGTTAACAAAAATGACGTCATCCATAACAAAATATTGGATTGTGGGAGCTCATTATGAATATTCATCGATAAGTTCAGTGCCCCCACGGCCAAATCAAAACAACACAGAATGAAATGGAGTAGATCTACTACTACTAGTGGTAGATTTTATATCTATTCTGAATTATTCTTGTTTTTCAAAAGTATAGTTTAATGGATAGATCGCACGAAAATAAGACAGGAGAGCTGGAATTAACATTTATAGAGATTTCCCTCAACACTCATGTTGGCCTATCCGACTCTAAAATGCTCTTTTTTGTTATTCCCCCCGAGGCACCGCCCCCCCCCCCCAACTAAAAAACAAAAGTGGTCAACTGTCGAACTGTTCATTAGAAAGCAGCCTCATCTGTCATATAAGGGCTGCTCCCCACCCCCCCCCCCCCGTATCCCAACACTGAGAATCTTTGTGAGACAGGCTTGGAGAGTGGGGTGAGGGGTATAGAGGCCCGGGGGAGGGGGAGGGGGGGTGGGGAAGAGGGTGATGGGGAAGAGGGGAGAGGGTATGGAGTTCATAAATAAGAGGGAGAGAGAGAGAGAGAGAGAGAGAGAGAACGGGGGGGGGGGGGAAGGAGTTTATATACAGCGAAGAAAAAGTATGAAATCACGATCTGATCTTTTCTTTACAAAATCTGAAAATCAGTGGAAATAAAAGCAGCCAATGCAGCGGGGGGGGGGGGGGGGGTAACTCAGATTTGGTTTTGTCAAGCTTCGCTTATGATTGCGGTCTCCTGCACTTTTCCAACAGAATATTTCCAAACAGAACATGGTACCTATTAGGCTATAAGGGACGTCCAGTCAAAACGCAACCCATGTTTAAGGTTTTGCCCGGGATTACCAGCTTATAATTTGGTCAGAAGCTGAACTTAAATAGATGATATTGATAAATCTGTGCGACCATCGGCGAGGAATTCGGATGAAACAGCAGATGATTTCAATTATCTTTGCGGGATTTTGCACATAGAATTTTCACTTTAGCGAGATTATGTGTGAGATATTATCCTGAAAAAAATAGTAACCCATGCTTAAGGCCAAGAGCTAAAAACTGGAGGCACTTTTAGAGATTTTACAGCACAAAAATTATACTCCATGTTAAGGGATCTTCAGTGCAAAAAAAGTAACCCATTAGAGCAAGTACCCACCCCCCCCCCCCACCCCCTCCGGGCAATGCACGCCAACATATTGTATCAAAATCTGCAAATTCTTTTATCTACATCCCATTTTCTAATCCACTTTTAAAAATCCCCACTTTAAGCTAATCTTGAGCTCTGGTATGGGCATAGTATGCCGAGCCTGAGAACATGGCTATAATTATTCATTCTGTATTTGTTTATCCTACAGTTAGATTGATTGTTTGACCCAGTAAAATAAAAACATTTGCACAGAGTGACCTGTCTTGATCACATGAGGTCGGGCCTATACTTTCCTTGATTTCCTTACCTTTCTATGCTCCATGATTACTCATCCCCTATCGTTTGATGTCCTTTATTTGTAATCTTGGACATTCAGTGTAAGTGTTGTAAGATTCTGTAAGAATTTGTTTTCTATCATATGCAGAACTCAAGCTTATCTTTAATGTTATGTGCTTTGGAATTTTAGTTCATGATTTTAGCTGCAGATTCGTTGTACCTGCATGTCTGCGGGGATGTTTTGGTGATGTAATCTTTATATATTCATCGATAGTTTAGTCATATTTCAGATTCAGATTCAGATTCAGATTTTATTTCCGTTTCAAAACAAACAAAATATAAACAGACATAATATAATACAGTCAAATATAATATAAACAAAGTAAATTCAGTATTATGTAGAACAAAATTTAGTTGATAAGAAATATTGGGAAAAAACAGTACTGAACAATAGAAAAAAAAAATGACCTTGATGAAGTAATTCAAAACGGAGGGGCTTGCTAAAAAAGCAGAGCTTGTATGAGGCAAGCCCCTGACTTAGTTACATGGATACGCTTAAAGAATTATGGTCGAAAGCTAATACCAGTAAAACACACTAAAAGGGAATACAAAAAAAAAGAAAAAGTAAAAGTAAAAATAAAAGTAAGATAAATATAGAACAGAGAGAGAGAGAGAGAGAAAGGGGAGAGAGCAAGAGAGAAATAGAGAGCGAGAGAAAGGCAGGAAGAAGGAGATGGGGACAGGAGGCAGGTCGTTAGGCTTGTTTAGATTATTCTTAAAAAAAAAAAAAAAGGAGGAAAGGAGGAATAACAAAAGGAAAGATTTGTTTTATCTTTCCGTAGGTTTAGATTTTTGAGCTTGGCTTGTTGGTGGGGAGTATTGGCTGATTAATGTTTTCCTAAGTTTACGTTTAAAATTGCTAAGACTAGGGGCTTCTTTTATATCGTTGGGAAGAGAATTCCAATAGGCACATCCAGCGAAGACAAATGAATTCTGTGCAAATAATGTTCGTGTTAAGGGTAAGTGATAACAGTTCCGTTGTCTAGTCGGGTAATTGTGTACAGAGGCATTTTTGCAGAACATATCGGAAAAATTGCGGGGAGGTCGTCTTTACTTAGTTTGAACATAAATTGGCCGAGTTGGAACACATAGATATCTTTCACTTTGAGAATATTATTTTCGAAAAATAAAATATCTGTATGAGATCTGAATTGTGTTTGAAATATTATCCTGAGTGCTTTTTTCTGCAGCAGTAGGATCCTATTTAATTGTGTTTGTATTGCACATCCCCATGCTATAATCCCATAATTAATGTATGGTAATATTAAGGTATGATATAATGTAAGAAGAGTTCGAGAAGGAAGAAAGTATTTGAGTTTATTGATAATACCGATGTTTCGTGAAATGGTTTTGCATATATTATCGATGTGAGTTTTCCATGATAATTTTTCATCAATAAACACTCCCAAGAATTTGGTTGTAGAAACATTAACAAGAGCAGCGTTATCAAAAATAATTTCACCTGGCAAACTATTGATTTTGTTGCTAAATAGCATGTAATTGGTCTTCTGCAGATTAAGTGATAGTTTATTAGCCTTGATCCAGTCAGTTACATTTTTTAGTTCAGAGTTTACAGTTCTAAGTAGTTGGTTCGCATTCTCATGAGAAAAGAAAATGTTGGAGTCATCTGCAAAAAGTATAAATGATAATAAATTTGAAGATTTTTGAATGTCATTAATATAGGTAATAAAAAGAAGGGGGCCGAGTAGGCTACCCTGCGGTACACCACAGGTAATAGGAAGTGTAGAAGAATTACAGTTGTTAACCGATACAAATTGAGTCCTATCTGTAAGGTAACTCCTGAACCACTCCAAGGCCTTCCCTCTAATACCATAGTGAGAAAGTTTGTGAAGAAGAATTTCATGGTTTATAGTGTCGAAGGCCTTGGAGAAGTCCAGGAATATACCTACAGTATGCAAACCTTTATCAATGGAAGTGGTAACTGTTTTCATAAAAGACAAAATTGCATGCGAGGTGCTATGATTTTCACGGAAACCAAATTGGAAGTGTGAGAAAATATTGTATTTTTTAAAAAACGTGGTTGTTCTTGTGGCTGATCATAATAACACTTGGTGGCTACCATTTTTTTTACTACAAAAATAAATAAGATCTGGCTATTTGTGTCAGTCGATCAGTAGACTTCAACAATGATCACGGTCTGTAAACAAATAAGATAAAAGAAGATACCCTAAAAGGGGAAGAGATTTCATGCGGTCATGCATTTTTTGGTTGTTGTTGGGGTTGTTACAATCATAAACAAAGACAGATTATGTTCAGTAATGAGTGTCCCTTTTTTGTACAATGATGTTTCATCTTTTTATTAAAGCATGGACGAAGAGGTCGAAAACTTTTCTCTTTTCTATTTTTTTTTGTTTTTGTACTTTGTTTTACTGTAATTTGTTTTGCAAAATAAATGATTTTCAAAGCACAATGCCATCCGAAAGATAGCATAATCTTTATTTATGCGCAACAGCGCCATCTTACGATCAACCCGTACTTCATAAACAAGAAACAGCTGATTGCTGTGTACATACTGGTCCTGAACTGCATGCTGTGTTACAGTACAGTCACTAATGGAAGAGCCTATACCGACCATGTGTGTCAGTCATTTGGGTAAATAGACGAACTTCACTCAATACTTTTATGTACCTAACCCTTTCGCATGTTTGTTGATGACTAACTGAAAATTGAGAAATGTCATGTCACAATAGTAACGCCATTAAGTCACTGATCACGAATCAGCGAATTGTATGAATCATGAACTTGATGTACAGATCGATCTCCATCAAACATTAATTTATGAATCACTGTGAAGTGAGCTGATGCAGCTTCAGTTTCATTCTTTACCTAAAAGGCCTTTACCCGAAATTCTGGAAGAATGCTGTGTTCTCAGCAGTCAGGCTTTGATCCAGTTCAAGTTTGTGTTCGTTCCCTAGCTCTCACAGTTTGGTGTCTAATTGGCATATGCCTGAAAATTAAATTTAAAAATGTAGCTGTTGGGGTGAAATTTTGATTTTGATTTTGGCTGGTTGATTCAGAAATTTCACCTGCTTTAAATACCTATAAAACTTTGGTAGATGAAAGATAGCAATAAAAAGTATTAATGCCTATAGCCGTTACCCGTTGGTCCGTCCCCTTTTTCTTACTATTACTCTTATATGTTAATCAAGGGCTGATTTTGATGAGATGTGCCAGTGACCACGAAGGGAGGTCTGATTTCCACTGGCCAAACTAGTGCAGATAGGGCTTTAATAAATATGACCGTCATTTTGTAATATTTGAAATAATCTTTAAGATGTAGCTATAAATCTCTCTCCTTCAAGTATTGCAACGAAAGGATAAGTCGTTGGCTATATAGATTCTTTATTTGTTCGATATGTCTTCAAAGTGTTGTGGCCTATACAGTTAAACATTTTATGTCCAAACGTACCTGCCCAATTAAAATGTTGTCCCAAGCTTGATATTATAGAATTGATCCAGAACGTCAAGACTGATGCTTTATCAA